AAAATATAATATAAAAAAATAAAAATACCTACAATATAAAATGATACGAAATATAAAATAATAAAAAATATGAAATAACACATATCGAAACATAAAACATCAAATATTATTTTCTTCATTTAAATGAATTGAAATTTTCTTCTCCTTCAATATATATTTCAATATGGCAATGACATTTGCCATACGGTTTTAAAAAAAATGCCTCCTCCTTCTTTTCAATATAAATACGGTATTTCTAAGAAATTCAATGGATTTTACAGATGCAGCATTTGTTAAAGTTGGTGTTTCATGTCTCTCGTGTGTATATATATAAGACACGGGGAGAGAAAATAATATAAAATAAAAAGAAAAAAACATTAAAAAAACGATTCCTGGGAGTGGTTTGCTTGGAAGTAGGTCGACTATATAAGCGAACCGAGTGTATTTTGTTCGATCGGACGGACCCACACTGGAGTTAAAGGCCGATAAGGATAATTATTCGACTTTAGTCTCTCTTGTAATTTTTTTTCCTCTCTTATTTCCACCATACAAATAACGAAAGAAAAGCAATCTTTTTATTTTAATTTAAAAAAAGGAACATTACACATAGAACAAAAAAAAAATGAATCTTAAAAAAATTTAATTTTTATCTTTATAGAATCCTTAAGGATTCAATCTTTATCTTAATTTAAACTTTAAAAAAACATGTTTTTAAAATTATTTAAGGAAGAAAGTTTAAAAACTATGCAATCTTTTATTTAAAAAGTTTAAAAAACTAAAAAAGTTGGTTTTAATATTATTTAAGAAAAAAATTTAAAAAATATTAAATCTTTATCTTATTTTTAAAATTGAAAAAAAGTACAAAAAATCGGTTGGTTTTTTGTCGAAGGTGAAATTGTTATTTTCCTCATCTCGTATATATACGTATATATTTACGAATAAGGTCAGAAATAAAAAGTCATTATACTTGAAGGTATTCGCGAGTCAGAATTATTGTACATACAAATTATATATGTAAGATTTGCACTCTCCAATGTCAAATACACGATTATGAACCCTAAAAATAAACTTCTATTTACCATAGTGGCAATGTATTAAAAAAACGAGAATTTTTTCCTTTCTTTATTATTATTGTTATTATTATTGTTAATTTTATGCAAAACGGCAAATCGATAGAAACTTATATTTACAGTGTCAAAGCAACGGACGCTCGTTTCATATTGGCATTGACCTGAATTTTTCTCAATCAACGACTAGACTACAGATTTTCATTTTATTATTGATTCAATATATTGTATATCATTTTCTTTCTAATTAATTACCGCAATTAATCAATTGAAACAAATTTTTATTTCATTTTAATAATTTTTATATTAAATAGCAATTAATAGGATGTTTTTTTTATTAATATTTAATAATTTGTTATTAATATTTAATAATTTGTTATTAATTAGCAATTAATTATTAATTAATTATTAACTAGAATTAATAATATTAATAACTTATATTGTAACTAATAAATAATTAATAATATTTATATTAATTAGCTAATAAATTCAAATGAAAAATTTTTTTTTTTAAATTAGTTTATTAGTTGACATTTTTCCGTTTTTGATCCCGCTTTTGAATTTTCTGCGTGGAAACTTTATATTTTTTAAACAAAATTGTGTATTGTTTATAATAAAGATGTAGTTTATTAATATATACGTTTGCAGATGGAAGTAGGTTTTTTTTTGTTGTTTTTCTATTGTTGTCGTTTTCTGTTTTTCATTGTCATCCGATCGATAGACCCCTCATTTCCGGATGTATGTGATCCCGCATCCGGTGTGCTCATATATTTTTCGTACCTGCTTCCCAGAAAGCACCTTTTATATTTCACATTGTTGTACGCAATGCGGTGTTACGTAAAAAGACGATTGTCGACGGAATCCGCCCCCCGAAATATTGAATTCAAGATTTTCGTCTCAGAAGTTTTTCGATAAATTATTAAAGAGAAAAAAGACTTTAAAAAAGACTTTAAAAACTCCTTTAAAAATACTTTCAAAAAATACTATGAAAAAAATAGAACGAAAAAATTACTATACAGAAAAACTACTATTTGAAAAAAATACTACTATACTTGTAAGGCACTTTAAAGAAAGGGCTTGAAAAAAATCTTGAATATTTTTAGGTTATGTTCGTAACTTTCAGAAACGAAATTCCTCTTGACTTTGTAGTTGAAATTTTACGAATTTATTTCGATATTACGATTTAGTTTTCTAAAAAACCCACCTTGACAAAAAAAAAACTATTTCTGCTTTTTAGGTTATGTTTGTTTAGGAACGAAAGTCCTTTCAATCTCTTAGTTGAAAAAATTTATTACGATTTAGTTTTCTAAAACACACCTTGTCAAAAAAACTATTACCAATTTTTAGGTTATGTTTGTAACTTTCGGGAACGAAATTCCCTTCAACCTTGTAGTTGAAAGTTTACAAATTTGTTTCGTTATTACGATTTAGTTTTCTAAAACCCACCTTAACAAAAATATTACAAATTTTTAGATAGTCGCCTTCCATCCTTGTATAGTTGAAAGTATATTTACGAATTTGTTTCGATATTACGATTTAGTTTTCTAAAATAACCCATACCTTGGCAAAAAAAGACAAACTATTAACGATGGAGATAAAAAAAGCCAATCAAAGGTGTAATGAATTCAATTATAAAGACATTCCGTAATAAACTCGTTATCTCCTCACTGCAATTATTACCATTATAATTGATTCTCAGATCAAGGAATGTCACAAACGCGCAATTTAAATGGAATTCCATCCTTTTTTTTATGACAAAAGAAAAAAATTGAAAAGAAATTAAAAATTTTTTTTAAATTGAAATAAAAGAAAAGATGGAAACAAAACAATGGGAATTGAATGACTGGAGAGAAACGTGTATCAGGGATGCTTGGGGGAGTTATACTGAACGGTTCACTTCTGCTTCATTGCTCTTGTGAGCATTTGAATCTCTTTCTCGATTTTCACTATCTCACTCACATTCTTGATCCTCTCTCTCTCTCTCTCTGTCTCTCTTTCTCTTGCATAGTCACTTTGAAACGTATTTTTCTTCTCTTCCTCTCTTGCATACACAATACCGCCCTCACACTTTATAACCGCAACTCAGGGTCGTAATCGATCTCGGTCTCTTAAACCAAAAATTACCCAGCAATCATTTTTTTTTTGTCTTCAGATCCTTCGGTCGATATATAAATGTTTCGCTTCACTTTCTATTCATTTTATTATTGAATAATCTCTCACCATTTGTTCCGCTTAGGGGGAAGATTTTTTCGGCTGTTTGGAATCTTTATAACGCTCCATTGAATTTTGTTGCTGAAACAGTAGATTTCGTTTTTATCAACATTTTTTATTTTGATGCTGGTAAATTAAAATTCCTCCTTTTGGAGAAAGAAAAAACGGTTTCTTTGACGTCAGTCAAAGAAATCGTTTTTTCTTTCTCCAAAAGGAGGAATTATTTTATAAACATCTATTCATTTTTGATTCTTTATAGTTTTCGGTAAAAATTTTTTTGAGGTTATGTTATTAAAATCTTCTGCCAATTGAAAATAATGCGATGGTAAATATTGATGAATTGATGCGATGAAAATGGAAGAAACCGCCAGTTTTTGTCCGATGGAGAGTACGGTCCTGTTTAGTGTTCCAAAGTACCGGCTCCAACGTTTTCCTTCCTTCTTTCTTGCCAGAGGGCAAAACATCTCCTTTTGTTTTCTCTCCTTGTCGCGCGCACACACAGAGAGCGCAAATCTTGGTATACCGATCACGAGGCGAGTTTGTATATTTATAGCATACACAAACACACACAAAGAATTTAGTTTTAAGTCTCTTGACCAAAGGTTGCTTAACGAACCCGTAACGCCATTTTGGATCATCTTCAAATAACACACACACACTGTCTCAACATTATACCGTCCCATATGACGCAATCACTTATCCACCACATTCCCATCCCGACTCTTCTCTCCGATCTTGGAATTTTTAGTCCTTCTTCTTTTTCCCTATCTTCGAGGTTATGTGGAACCTAATGCCGCTTCCACAATATTTTTTTTTCTCGTCTCATCACGAAGGGGGGTAAAATAATATTCGAATTGTAGAAAGACCTTAAATCCCGATATTTAATAATCTTTTCACACAACCGTTGCGGTAAAAAAAAACAGTTCTCGCAATTTCCTGGTTTTTCCGCTTCAATAGCGTCCTCGTGCTCCATTGTCCCGAAGTCAATGTCAAGAGAACACATCCGCCATTTTGAATTTGCATCTTTTTTCACTCTTTTTCTTTTTTTCCACTCTGCGGTGGAAAAAATACTTTTCGAATTAGTCGCGAATCTTCTTGGAAAAAAGTCATCCGCTAGAAATTGTGAATCATCGCTATTGTGTGATGAGGCAAGAAGAGAAGTTAAAAGAAAAATATTAAAAACCTTGTCCGCGTTTCAGTGTAATTCTCGGATTTTCTTATTTGAAAAAAAGGAGAAAATGATACAGTTTATAATAACAGGTTGTGAATGGGGATAATTACCGATAGGATGCGGTTCTATCACTATACTGAAAGGACGAAAAATTACATAAGTGGAATTCGCGAAACGTATCTTTTATTAACTTTCACCGAATAATCGAAAAAAAATTTTTTCCCTCTTTGTCGGCAAAGTAGAGAACTAATTTATTATTGCCAAGAGAGTGTAACGACCCGAAGTTTCAAATTCCAAGGTCCTTGTACCCTTTTCGGTAATAGGAGACTTGATAGTCTCGAATGACGTCAAAAAAAATGAATAATCTCCCGCGACCTCGGAAATTTACATTAGACCTTGGAGGAGCACAAAGAGAAACTTTTCGGAATTTAAAGACCTAAAAGTAACGGGTTTTTTTTTTATAAGTGTTATTAAATCTTGACTATTTCTATTTTTGACACTAACCTGACTTTACCAAAGTTGGAAGAAGTTAGTGACTAATTTCTAAGAGAACTTTTCTTTTCCTGTTGCAGATCGTGAGAGAATTGAAGATGACAGAGCAACGACACCGGAATCGTTGCGCAGTGCAAGTCCAGCGTCATCGCCACCGCCCTCGATTCAATGGCAAGCGACGCAGATGTCGAATTCGAGTCATGGAGCACCGAGAAGATTTATCTCGAGTATCCTCGGTGGCGATGTCCCCTATGGAAGTAGAGGTCACGTACTGACAAGAGCCGAACGTAAAGAATACAGTAGTCCACCAATTGCTCCATCATCATCGGAGCCGAAATTCCTGACGAAAACGGACAAAGTCGAACTCCCCAGGCCACTGACCCCACCGAAGGCTAAACTCGAACCTCCCACGAGAGTCTCGGTAATTCAGAGGGTGCCGCCCCAGGCGCAAAATCCCAGACGTGAGGAGACGAAAATTGAGGTCCCATGCACACAGGAACCTGAGCAGGTAAGAGTCGCGAGTTTAGAGAATTAATTAAAACGGGAATTCATAAGTACATGTGTTTAATTAATCAATTTTTTTTAGGATCAACCGATTGACTATGCAGTACCTAAGCGAAAAGAGGACGAGGAGAAGGGTAGGGAGGGAGCGAAGAATTCGAGGACAATGGGCAATTCAATAGCGAGGCCCCTTTTGGCGATGAGATTATCCGGACAGCAGGCAATTCACGCGGCAGCTGGTCATGGAAGAACGTCTAATTCTGGAAGTAATACCGGTGGTAGTCAAGGTTCCTCGGGTGGGAATTCGTCAAATAGTGGAAATTCCGGAAGTTCTGGCGGTGGTTTCAGTTCCGGTGGTGGGAACACGGGAAGTGGTGGTGGCGGTGCAATTGGCGGTGGTGCCGGTGGGGGTGGAATGAATCCCGGTGGTAATGGTGGTCGTGGAAATTATGGTCCAAGTTCACCGCCAACTGGTTCCCTACCGCCATTCTACGAATCGTTGAAAGGAGGCAATAACCTCGCTAATTTCGCGAATCAGTACAATGGAAATGGTTACCTCACGGCGTCGCCAGCTGTTGGAATGGACTGCGATACAGGACAGCACGATGTTAATTCCCCCCATTCATTCGGTGCTCAGGAAGGGAAGCAGTACTCCCTGCTGCAGAATGTATGCGCCTCGTATGGTATTACCCTTAAGGAAGAAGAAGATCTAGCGGCCTATAAGATTCAACCAAACGATTTACTCTCCGGACAGTATGGACCGTATGATATGACAGACTCGGGTATGATTGTGGACATGGTCACTGGTTCTGTAGTCGATCCAATGCAATTTACAGCTACGTTTACCTTCAATTCACCGCCGGATCATAACGCCTTCTTGGAGAGTCTAAATGATGCGGAGGATCTCTTTTTGCCGAAACTCCCCGCCGAGGAAGGCAATGATCTACTTGAAGAAACGTTACATTCCCCAGCGTCCGCTGGTAGTGTCATCGGTCAAGATGGACAGATGACCAGTCCAGTGGAACCCAGTGTCGATCCCTTTCCCGAACACAATATATCGCTGGCTAGAGGTTTTGATAACACCAGGCATTACACAGTTCCGCAACACATGTCGCCGAAAATCTCAGGAATCACCTATCCCAGTGCAGAGTCGAGTTATCAACCTCTACCTAAGGAGCGCGCCGAATTGGCACTTCATATAAACCAAAATCAACATCAACCCGAACCACAACTTCAGCAATTGCAAATACAAGTCCAATTGCAGCAGCAACATCAGCAGCAGAGTTCTCCCCATCAGCATCATCAGGGCTTGCTGAGTCCTAGCTTGAGCTTCACTGGCAGTGGTAAATAAATTCTATACCAAGAAAACTTAAAGTCAGGTAAAATGGAATATGTACTTAACGATTTGCTTTTTTGCAGGTTTGGAATTGGATTCCGGTAGTAGTGCTGGTGGGAGTTTGCCAAGTCCGGGTGCAGCCTCGTGTTCCCTGGACGCAGCGTCGACCAGCACATCGCCATCCTGTGCACTAATGGAGCACGCGCCGAGTCCCTCGAGCGTATCAGCTACGGTGAGTTCACCTTCAGGTGCTGTTAGGGTCCTCTTAGGCATCTTTAGATTCTGCAAACAATAAAAAACAAATATCTAGACTTTCCACTTTCATAAAGGTTGAATCCTTCCTCTGTGAGGTAGGATTCAACCTTTTTGAAAGTTTGTTTTTCGTAAACCTAACTAATTACCAGATGCGATGCCAATCAAATTCGGCGCTTAATCCCATCTTCGTATTGTACTCCCACTTTCCCAGAATTCACCAGCTTTACTGAATTCCTCTTTTTTCCAGTTGGGCCTCCCAGGAGATGTCCCCATTGAATTCGTTAACGGCGGTCATGGAATCAAGAACCCATTGGCGATTGATGGCCAACGGCAGACAACGACGATTCGCGAAGAAGAAAGAGCGGTTCGACCTCCACAAGGAAAGGAGGACGATCCCAGTAGATTCTCGTGTCGCGTTTGCAGTAAGCACTTCAGTCTCCAGAGACTCTTGAATCGACACATGAAGTGCCACAGCGATGTGAAACGATACCTCTGCACCTTCTGTGGGAAGGGTTTTAATGACACCTTCGACCTCAAGAGGCACACGAGAACGCACACCGGAGTCAGGCCCTACAAATGCAATCTCTGCGAGAAGAGCTTCACCCAGAGATGTTCACTCGAGAGCCATTGCCTCAAGGTCCACGGGGTTCAGCATCAGTACGCGTATAAGGAGCGACGCACAAAGGTAGGTCCACTATTTCTGCCGTCGAATTGTAAACGCAGCCTTAAATACAGTCAAGTGCATCAATGCCGTCCTTTCGGGACGACGTCAAACCGAAAGGACGGCATGAAACTCCCAAAGGCGACAAGAACTTCTAAAATTCAAATTCTTCTATAATTCTAATTAGATTAGGATTCTAATTTCAAAATTCTTTTCAGGTTTACGTCTGCGAGGAGTGCGGTCACACCACCCAAGAACCAGAGGTCCACTATCTTCACCTGAAAGAAAAACATCCCTACAGTCCAGCACTTCTAAAATTTTACGATAAGCGGCATTTCAAGTTCACGAACAGCAATTTCGCCAACATGTTGCTACAGGTGCGCACGTAAAAAAAAAACAAAAAACTACAGACTGACAAAACGAGCAACTTAGCGAATCGAGTTTCTCGTTTTTAAAAGTGCGGAGATTTAATGTTCCGTCTACAATAATTTAGAGATTAGTTTTTTCAATAGGTTTTTTAGAATCTCGATTAGATACATTACCTTATCTTTCTTGGTATCACCCTAAATAGACGATATCATCTAAAATCATCTAGGATTATCCATAAAATCTTGGTATTCCATAAATTTTAAAATTACTAAAGATGATTGTAGCTTAGAGATGATTAAAGCATAGAGATGATTGAAGATGAAAGATACTGAAAGATGAGAGATAATTAAAGAAAAAAAGGGGGGGATTTAATTTCGAGGGAGACAAGAGAAAATTACACATAAGAAAATAGTTCTTGACGATGTAACTCTTCAGGGTGGCCTTCTCCAACCGGATTCACGGAGTCCAAACACCGGCGTCAAGAAGACTTCCAAAACTCTTGAAAATCGTCGCTTGCTAATAACCAAGTCTAAATAACGAAGCCATTTCTCGAGAACCATTTTGTTTCGGAAATCGGACAACAAGAGGACGTTGCATTATCGACGACAAAAAAAAAACGGTTTGCCAGATATCGCAAAAGGCAAGTGATAGCAAACTTTTGAATTTCAATTTAAAAACATAACTTTTCTGGCTAAAAACTATTCTCCCAGTATTCTCTTATCGATCTATTTTTAGGCTAATTTTTTTCTCTCCATATTTTTTTTTTCAAAAATTTACAAAAAAAAACATAAAAAGTGGACGAATCTCTAAATTTTAGAACGATTTCGATTCACTTATCGACTGATCACGAGGAAACAATAGGACGTATGAAAAAAAATGTATAGGCGGGATTTCCCGATGGGAAATTTTAAGCACAATTTTGTTAGTTAGGGTAACTGTGATATATTGAAAAAAAAATAATAAAAAAAAACTGGCTAGATTTTTTTTTATTACTATACATACACAAATGGCACATGACTCGCGTTCTAAATTTCGATTTTCGGATATTTTCGCGCAATTCTTGACACTTGAAAATATTTACATAAATACACAATACATAAAACACGACACAAAACGGGGTTTCGTGCAATGTTTGCGGTGGTAGGGAAACTTACAAACAAAAAATGGCGTTAGTGACTCGCAATTCTTCAGCGGAAGGGAAACAAACTCCTTTTTTGATAATTTGACAAAAGCGTTAATTATGAAAAGAACTCAAAATAAATATAATGGAAGAAAATATAAACATAACCTCAAATTTTTTCTTTTTTTTTAGACATGAGAGAAAGAAGGATAGTAAATCATTTTTCTAGAAAAGGATGAAAGATATTTCTATTCTTCTTTCTCTCATGTAAATAGTTTTCGCGAACATGAGATAGAAAAGAATAGATATATACTTTTATTCTTTTCTAACTCATACATTACACTGTGTTTCGGTTTTAATGCAGAATTTTTTTCTTCGAAAATATTTGTGTTTATATTTTTCCTTCCGGGTTTATTTGCCTTTCTGTGAAAATACTCTTAAAAAATACGATCACAAATCTTTTTCTCGTAAAATCCTGAGCAGAAGCTTTGGGCTTAAATTTGTGAATTGTACGCATAGAATTGTAATCGTACCTTAATATATCTCATTATAATGCGACAGTTAATTCTATAACTATTTATTTATTTATCGAAAATAATTTTCAATTTACTAGGTAAGAATGAATTTTTTCTATAGTAAATTTACAATTATTTACCTCTCTAGTATTAGTATAATTACCACAATTATTTATTTGACACTTTTAGTAATTTCTTAATCTATTTTTCGGTAGGAGGTAAAATGAGCCTTGTCCTCTGGTCAAATTTCGAATTTTTCCTCGACTGCCCAACCTTGCTATGGTGGAAATTGTAAACAGACCTTAAAATATTAAAAGGCCGATTTTATATGCGAGGGAAAAGGACAGCAATATCTTCTGCCTCTTTCTAGAAAAAGGCAAAGGATATTTTTATCCTTCTTACTCTCAAGTAAAAATTAAAATATTTTTGATTCCACATAAACTTGAATTCTTTTCTGCACTCGAAAAAAATACTGAAAATTCCACCTAACAAGTTTGGAATTCGGCTAAAAATTAAAAAATTTGATTTTTTTTACCGTTTTTGAACTGATTTAATTTAAAAAAAATGCTTTTTAAAGTCAAATTATCAAACCTAACCTCAAATTACAAGAGAATAAATTTTTAGGTTATGTTAGCTTTTTTCCCCTGCGAATTGCCGGGTCTCTCGAATGCTGACTAGATTAATAAGTTAATTCAATTTTAAATAAGAAAAAAAAGAGCTTCAGGTGCTTTGGATTATAGAGTTGTTTGGTGCTTTTTTTTCTCACGAAGCTGAAATACTTTGGAAATTTCTTTTTTATGTAAATAGAACAATTATAATAATTTTTAAGTACGTTAGAAACAAAAAAAAAAGTGCACTGGATGCAAAACAGGAATAAGAGAAAAACTTAAAATAGACAAAATTTCCAGTGTCGAGTTTTTATTAATTTTTTGTAAATAATATTATAGAGTATAAACAATTTTAGTCTATATAACTATTTGTACCTTGGATGTTAAAAACAATTATAAGAGAAAAAGAAAATAATGTAAAGAGAGTGAGAATATTGTTTGTACGTCCCTGTCTCAGCAATACTCAAGCAAAGAACAAAAAAAATAAAATAATGCAGAAAAAGTAGAACTTTTTAAAGAAATATAAAATATTTTCTCACCTAAGCCAATCGTATCTCGTTATTATTTAATTTACGTCCAGTATTGTCTGATATATATATGTAACTATTATAATATTGTTATCATGATAATTTTTTTTCTCCTTTTTATTATTATTATATTATTATTATTATTAAAAAAGTATCGCTATACTGTTTTTACAACATTCCAACTCTATATTGATATATATTTAAGAATAGTAAACAAAAATTAATGGTTATTATTAATTATTATTATTATTATATTATTATAATGATTATTATTATTATTATTATTATATATTATGGATATTATTGAGAAAAAAAAACAAAATATTTATCAACGTTAATTTTTAACAGATGCGCTTCCTGTCGACAATTTTTATTTTATTCGCTGAGAAATGATGAATGAATGTTATATATTTTTTTTCGTGCAGTAATTGTATATCTAAATTTTATGTGTGAATGTGTTTTGGAAAAAAAATGCGATTAACAAGAACGACTGTTTTATTAAAAAAAAATATTTTTTTTCATTTTTTTTGTAATATATTAGCTCGAAAACAATTTGAGCCTTATATTTTTTAGTTTCTAGAGTTGATTATTATTAATCGACTGTTAAAACGGTAAAACGTGGTTTTTCACACTTCTGTGCATGTAGAAATTGAAGAGATAATAAAAATTATGTTACAATGAAAATTATATTTTTTTCTCCTTTATTTACCATATTAATATTATTATTATCATTTTAATTTTTTATTATTATTATCATTATCATTATTATTCTTTTTATTATTATTATTATTATTATTATTATTATTATTATTATTATTATTATTATTATTATTATTATTATTATTATTATTATTATTATTATTATTATCATTATTATTATTTTTATTACTGTTACCATTATTATTATATAAATGTTATTTTTATTAATATCATATAAAAAATAATCAGGGAGTTCCCTGAAAATAATATTGAAAGTGAGGCAATTGAAAAAAGTCGTTTGAATTGAGCTTTATTGTGCATTACCACAGTGAGTGTGGAGCACACTTTAGTTTTAAATTGACGCTTCTTCCCGCAATTTTTAACGTTTAGTTCTTTCAGTTCATTCACTGTCAACGTGTGTTTGAACGTGTCTATTCCTCATGTTATTTTAGAAAAAAAATGTACCTGGTGCAAAATTAGTGTCAAATTTTAACGTAGAACAACACAATGTAGTGCAATTAAAAAGGTATCAGAAAACAGTCAACTAAGGAAGAATGAAGATTTGGTTGCACGGTAAGGTTATGTTTACTATGTATTGTTATTCGCTAATGAAATGTCAAAAATAGAATAACTCTGATATCATTATTTATTGTTTTTATTAACATTCAATGGAAAAATTTAATAAAAATAAAATAAACTATATTTATATTGAAAAAATAACTTTAAAAGGAAAGTAACAATTTTTTTCACTTTTAACTTTAAAGTATCAATTTGATACTTTCAAAAAAACTGTGTTTTCCTCAAGTCGGATTTTTCAAAAATAGTTTTTTAATTCCTGGCAGAATTGTTTTGAGTCAAATTTTACAATTTTGAATTATTAACAATTAGAAAATGTCTTATCGAATAAATACTCTTTTCAAATAAGATTTTTTATGTTATATTTTATTTTATTTTATGTTATTATTACATTTTAAAAATCGATATTCATCAACTTTTTTTGTTATATTTCCATTACCGAGAGAATCTTTACGAAACATAATTTTAATTTGATTTAATTTAAACATAATTTTAACAAATTTTCGTAATTTAATTATATTGATGACTGTTCAAGTTTTTGTTGATATCATGAAGGTAAAATACCAGATAGAAACCTAAAAGATCTTATAAATTATTAACATCAGTGAAATTATAAAAAAGGATCGACATAAATTAGATATTTTTACGTTTTTAATAACAAAGAATTTTTAATTTAAAAAAAAATTGTCATTAGAGGCCAAAAAAAAATAAAAATTTGACACATTCTTACCCAGCAAGCACTCCTTAGTGATACATTCAACAATTTAACAGCAGCAATATTGCAGGGAATTTTACTTCTTATCATAATGAGTAACAAACTTTTTCTTATTCTACTCGGTTTCTTGTACCAAAGAGAATTGTATCTGTAAATTGATATAAATTACATATTTTAAAAATGAATTAAAAATTGAGACACAATTTTTACGAACAGAACTCTAAACTTTATGTCGAATTAATTTTGTAAATAAAAATATTTAAATAAAATATAATTTTAATTATTTTAAATTTATTTAATTTTATTTTAAAATTTTAATTTAAAAACAAACTTAAATATAAATTTAAAACTATGAAAAAATGAATAATTTATAAAATTTTTATATATAAATCATTTTAAAATTAAACCTTTGAAATAAAATATTACACAATATCTGTGAGACCAGCACTGTAGTCAATTATTCTTTGAGCGAAGAAAGTGTTAAAAAATAGATGAACTATGGAATTTCCAATAAAGGCCCCATATTTGACAGCTACTATAAAATTATTCGAATGTGCAACAATCTGTGAAAAAATAAATCCTAATATGTATATTTGGAATCGCAAAAGATTAATAAAATCGTGAAATATAGCTCACCTGAATAAAAAAAAAGGAAATGAAAATTTTATTTAATGTCACTATGAACATAAAGCAAGGCCAGTAGAGACTTTTAATGCTATCGCAGAATCTATCCAAGAAAAACTTTTATTTTTATTTTATTACTGTTTTAAACAAAAACTTTTTTTTTTAAATTACAATTTAAAAAAAAAAATCAAAAATGTTAAAACAATTTTTCTGAATGTACAAACTCAATTGCTCGATTATGCTCCAACACGCAATGAATCAACGCTATTTTATTATATTTCTCATTATCATTGCCATTTATTTTCTCTATATGTAAACTAAAATCCAAAAAATACTCATTAATAGCAAGAAATATCAAAATGGAAAAATAATTTTATTTAATTACAAAATTAATTAAAAGAAATTATATTACCCAATTTTTTTAAATAATCCACATGCATGCTCAATGGAAACAGCCAAAACGGATTCAAAAACAATGAAAATAACTGTTTCCAAAAATGTATTGAACGACAAATGTATAATGATCCAATAAAAATATTTCTCCGAGTAATTAAAATAATACACTCGAAATGGTAATTTATTTGATCGTGATTCATTTAATGATAAAATGAAATTAAATACTTTTGGATTCGTTGACATTAATGTGTAAGTAATAAACGAGCCAATTATACATCCTAGAATTTGGTCGATTAATTGTATTCAAATAAACTCTAAAAAAGTTTTCATAGGTATTATTATATTTTTGTACTGTACATAACACTTAAATTGTATATAATATTAGAATTTTTCAAAATGTCGGGTCCAATATGGCGGCCTTTTTTTCAAAATTCATCAAATTTGCTTGAAACCTGTTACTTGGAGATCTGACATTTTGAATTTTGAAAATCTGACTTCAGATTCATAATCAGCGACCCCGAAAACCCCCCAAGTAATAAATTTCAAGCCAATCCGTTAAATTTTTAATATTTTCGTCCACCATTTTGAATTTTGAAAATCTGAGTTCAGATTCGTAATCAGCGACCCCGAAAACCCCCCAAGTAATAAATTTCAAGCCAATCCGTTAAATTTTTAATATTTTCGTCCACCATTTTGAATTTTGAAAATCTGAGTTCAGATTCGTAATCAGCGACCCCGAAAACCCCCGAGTAATAAATTTCAAGCCAATCCATTAAGTTTTTAATATTTTCGTCCGCCATATTCGATCCGCCATTTTAAATTTTGAAAATCTGAGTTCAGATTCGTAATCATCGACCCTGAAAACCCACGAGTAATAAGTTTTAAACGAATTCGTTAAGTTTTAATATTTTTCGTCCGCCATTTTGGATCCGCCATTTTGAATTTTTTAAATCTGAGTTCAGATTCGTAATCAGCGACCCCGAAAACCCCCGAGTAATAAATTTTAAACGAATTCGTTAAAATATAATATTTTTCGTCCGCCATTTTGGATCCGCCATTTTGAATTTTGAAAATCTGACTTCAGATTCGTAATCAGCGACCCCGAAAACCCTCGAGTAATAAATTTTAAACGAATTCGTTAAGTTTGTAATATTTTTCGTCCGCCATTTTGGATCCGCCATTTTGAATTTTGAAAATCTGACTTCAGATTCGTAATCAGCGATCTCGAAAACCCCCAAGTGATAAGTTTTAACAAAATCCAATCTCTGGGCTTCCCGGGAGCACGTGAAAGGGTTAAAAAAAAAGTAAAGGTGCAGAATTTGTTGTTTTCTTTTGCATTAAAAAAAATTTTTTTTTAAATAAATGCATTATAAGAATATTGTGAAAGAGACGATAATCAATTTAATTAAGTGATTTACTTAAAAATACATTTACCAGTAAAAAATATAGTGAAACGTCGTCCATAATTTGCATGTTTAGAAATAATTAATTGATCCTGATCAGAGGACGAACATTCCCAATCGAATTTGATTTCTTGATAAAGTTTACTCAACTGTAAAATAAATTATTATTTATTGAATTATTGTCTACTTGGAATGATCTAAAAGCGATTAAAAAAATTTTGCCAAAAGATAGTACAATTTTTTATTTAAACTTTTCATTTTTTGCTAGTAAATAATTTTTTTCTTTATTAGCAAAAAAAATTTTTTTCTAGTTTTACATAATATTGAACATAATTGACCTTTTCTTGTTTAAATAAGAAAATAATGCTAAAACCAAAAGATGTGATTCCTGAAAATATTGTCGGAATACACTCCGTTAATTTTTCTACATTTCCGCATGCCTTTAAAAAATCATTTGCCTAGAAATCAAAAAAAGATATTTTCGTCAATATAAAAAAAGTGAATATAAAATGAATTAAATGAATATTAGTAAAATTCATAAAATTAATTATTAAATAATAGGTATAATATATAAGATGAATAAAATGAAAATTTGTCAATATTAATTTTGTTATTAAATATTTTAATTAAAGGAAAAATTACCGTGGGTATAAAAAAGATGAATATAGATGTAGAATTATAAAACACTGGATGGAAAAATTTCGCCGTTGATTATAAAAGGGCCATTGGCCAATGCAGGAAAGGAAAAATTTATTGATATAAAAATAACGATTGTCGAATGTGTCAGACATTATGTTTTCACCTAAAGGGTCAGTTTAAGACTGACGATTACTTTACAATGCAGAGAAGGGAATTTCAAGATAAAGTCAATATTACACAATTATTTATTCATTTTCAATCTTTTGCAGAAAAGAACAAAGTACTATTTGATTTTCCTGGAAGAAGAGAAATTATAATGTGCATTTAATGTAGTTGACAATTATCCTAAAGTCGTTTTGCAGGTTTCCAGCAGTACTTTAATAAATAATTTTCACACGAGATTCCACCCTTCTATAGGTTTAAAAATAGAATTTTCCTTCAGTCTTCCCTCAACCACAGAGCAGAGAAGAACTATAAGACTTATACTCTTTGGATTTGAATGACAATTTTCAATTATGAGTACACCACTAATTCTTCCGTATGCTTAAAATACGCTTTTTTGGGATTGGTGGTATACTTCTTTTTGTTTGAATCCTCTGTTCTAATTTAAGTTTAATAATTTTAAATTTAAATGCTACCCACGATGTTATACATTTTGTTTTTTATTTCAATATCGTAAACAAAAAATTTACTTTATTGCAATAAATCAAAAGTTTAGGAGTTAAAACGGTTCTATCTACAGATTTCTGCACCGACAATTTACCGACATTTTTAGCCCAGACTCAAACCACTTAGCCAAGATTCATAAAAATCGTTAAATTTTTCTTAAAAACTCAAAATTTTTATTTTCCTTCAACGAATAAGTAGGTTTTTTTTTAAAAAAAAATGAAAAACAGTATTAAAAAAATTTCTCATCTTACTATAAAACCTGGAAAATTGAAAAAAAAATTTGCTCCCTTAAAAAAAATAGGTTTGAAAAAAATTTATTCCCATAAAAGAAAATTTTTCCTTAAGAAGTTGTCGATAACAACAAAGTGAAACACGAGAACGAAGCCTTAACAATCTTGAAATAAAAATATATGAAAAATTAAATTCTGTTATAATAATAAATAGGGGAAAAAATAATTAATTAAAAACTGCTTTAAAAACATAATTAAATTAATTAAAAACTTAAAATTCTTACCGCCACACCCGTTTGATATGATATATCCAACATTTTGCCAGCTGTAATTTTACAAGGATTTCTACATCTTATCATAATGAGTATTAAATTTTTTTGCACTCTCACTGGAATTTGATCCCATTCAATATCGTATCTGTAAATTTATGGTTTTTATTTTTAAAAAAATTATGAATGTTCAAAAATATTTTTAATTTTACTTGGAAGATTGATAATTTTTTAAAAATATTATACACAATATCAGCGATACGAGTACTGTAGTCCATTAATTTTTGCGATAAAAAACTGTCAATCACAAGATTCACTCCGGATGCACTAGTGAGGACTCCAAACTTTAAAACAATTTCAAAATCATCAATATGTGTGACAACCTAAAACAATGTTAAAAAGAAGAAAGAAATTTGAGACACTTTGTTCTTTTAGTTGAAAATAATGCAAAATTTTTGTAATATTTATGATGGAAACAAAAAAATTTAATGAGTCATTTAAATTGAGAAAAATAGAGTCAAAGAAACATGTAAATATTTAAAAATTTTCACCTCAATTAGAGAAAGAGAAAAGAAAATGCAATTCAATGATATTACGACAAAAAAGCATGGACTGTATATCGATTCGATGTCGTCGCAATATCTGTGAAGAAAATTTATAAAATCTTTGACGAATATTAAAATAATTTTCTTTTTTTAAATATACAAACTCAATTGCTCGATTATGTTGCTCCACGCAATAGGATACTATCTTTAAATTCTCCATTTCGGCTTTTTTATTACTAATTTTTCTCAAATGTACGCTGAAAAATATTTATTCTTTTATATTTATATCTCTTTAGTATCTTTTCCTATCTTTTGGATAAAAATTTTCTCTTGGGTCAAAAGAAGGTTTTCTGTTTTGGACCAGAAGAAAATTTCTTGGATAAAAATTTCCTTTTGGGTCAAAAGAAGGTTTTCTATTTTGAATCCCTTTTAGTATAAAATCGATCAAAATTTTCTTTTGGCTCAAAAGAAGATTTTCTATTTTGTATCCCTTTTATACTAAATAAAGGATAAAAATTTCCCTTTGGGTCAAAAGAAGGTTTTCTGTTTTGAATCATAAAAAAAGTTCTTGGATCAAAATTTTGTTTTGGACCAAAAGAAGATTTTCTAGTTTGAATCCCTATTAGTATAAAAGGGATCAAAATTTCTTGGATCAAAAATTTCTTTTGGGATCAAAAGAAGATTTTCTATTTTTTATTCCTTTTATACTAAATAAAGGATCAAAATATCCTTTTGGGTCAAAAGAAGCTTTTCTGTTTTGGACCAGAAGAAAAGTTCTTGGATCAAAATTTCCTTTTGGGTCAAAAGAAGGTTTTCTATTTTGGATAAAAAAAAAAGTATAAAAGGGATTCAAAACAGAAAATCTTCTTTCGACCCAAAAGAAAATTTTGATCCAAGAGATAAATTTCTGGTTGTAGAGATCATATGAGTTACCCGATTAATTCAAATAGTCCGCAAGCATGTTCGATGCTAACTGCTAGAAAGGACTCGAAAAAAATGTAAACAAAAACTAAAACGAAACAGTTAAATGCAGCAAAAGTAGTGACCCAATAGAAATGTTCCTCAGAGTAGTCAACAAAGTAATACAAAGGGAAGGGCAAATCCTTTGGTCTTGATTCATTTAGAGGTGCAACAATATCAAGAAATTGTGGAAATAGCGGCGGCATTACGTAACCAATACATCCTCCCATCAGACTTCCTAAAAATGTATGCTAATTTAGAGTAAACTTTGATAAACTTTTATAAACTTTAACAAACTTGAACAAAATTTAACAAACTAAAAATAACTGAAAGTAGAATATAAAAATGGGAAATTTTATAAATTAATAGTTAAGAATTAGTTAAAATGGTACAATATGAACCTATACAGATTATAGTGACAAGTCTTCCATAATTTGCATGAGTAGAAATAATTAATTGTTCCTGAACAGAAGGCCAAAATTTCCATATTGATTCTATTTCGTTCAGTAATTTTTTTATCTACTAAAAATATTACGAACATTATTTTTTTGTTTTATGATTAAAATCTTATGATATATATATGACTAAATACTAATTACTTTCTTATTTTTTTAATTCGAATAATAAAAGACCAAATGGACAATATAAAAATATACAAATCGTGAAAATTATACCTTTTCTTGTTTAAAAAAGAAAACATTGATTATAGTCCAGACGTTAACTGTTGCAAAATGTATGGCGAGACACTCAATTATTTTCTCATCATCACCCCATATATTAAAAAAACCTGCCGTCTATCGATTTTGAAATTTAAATATTATACGGATTTTTAATCTTATAAGATTCAATACACTTAAGTTATAAATTAAATATTTATTTGGAGAAACATTTACCAAAAAAATAAGAAAAGTGGAAAGACTCAAAAAGATGAAAATATGAATAGTAAAATTTCGTTTTCGACTGTAAAAAGGCCAATGGCCAAGGGAGGACAAAAATAACTTCATCAAATAAAAATAACGACTATCAAAAAAGTCAGTCATTTCTGTTAGAAATTATAATTCAGAATTGCGGATTTTTTTCTCACCTTGACACCATAGATAAATTTACCTACAGGTACTTTTTACAAGACGTTCAATATTAATTTTTCTTGAAATTACTCCACTCTGCGAGTTTGTAGTTTTCGATTATAATCTTTATAAATATTTCTATGCTGAATTTGTGTCTCTAGCTTCTAATGGCTATATCCTCCTGCGTGGATTTTTTTTTATTAGTCTCTCTTTAAACGTAAGAAACAACAGTTCTCTTCTGCTTTGATTTTAAACCATATGTAATATGTTAGTCAAATTAAGTCAATTTTTTTTAAATTATTATAGTCAATATGAATGAGGGGGAAAAATTTATCAAAATATTGCAGACAAACCTATTAATTTTAATTAATAATTAAATCTTTTCTTTAATTCTCAATAAACTTTTTTATTTTCGAAATTAACAAGTGATTTTTTCTATATATAAATAAAAGATAAAATATTTAAGAAGGAGTCACTGTAAGCCATTGTAATTGTAATTGTAATTTCATAAACTCTTCAAGTTGTGGTTGATAACATCATAGTGAAATACGAGATAAAAGTCTAAAACATATTATGAGAAGTCCACATTAGTAAGATGTTAATGTAAAAATAATAAATTTTTTTGTAAATACAATCAAGTATTCTTTATCGAATATATTAATATAAAATAAATACAGTGAAACCTGTTGAAATGCAACTCGATTTTCTAAATTTTATTACTGCAAACAATACATAGAAAATTGTCTTATAATTTTGTAATATTTTTGTACAATATTCCTAGACCGTGGAAAAATAATTCATATTGCAAAATTTTTGAATAAAAAAAAATTTTTTAAATAACTTTTTATCAAAATTCCCCAGCGACAGGTTCGACTGTATATATATAAATATAAAAATTGCTAAACTAAAGATTTTTTTTTGGAAATTCTTACCCAACAAGCACTCCTCAGTGATATGTTTAACAATTTAACAGCAGTTATGTTACAAGGAATTCTGCTTCTTATCATAATGAGTAACAAACTTTTTCTTATTCCAGACGGTTTTTTATACCACAAAGAATTGTATCTGTAAATTTAAACGATCTTCTTTATAGACAAGTCCCTGATTTTTTTCTTTTTTTTTTTTTTTTTTTTTTTTTTGAAATAAAATATTACACAGTATCTGTAAGACCAGTACTGTAGTCCATTATTCTTTGCGCAAAGTGTGTGTTAAAAAACAGGTGAATCATGGAATTTCCAACAAAGGCCCCATATTTAACAGCTACTATGAAATTATTCGAATGTGCAACAATCTGTGAAAAAATAAATACGGAAATTGTTAATTTTGAATTTAATTTAATTTGAAATTTTCTAAAAATTATAGTAGAAGTAAATTAATAAAAGTTAATTATACTTTTTGAAATAATAAACAAAAATTTTAAATAATACTCACTTGAATCAGAGAAACGGAAATAAAAATACTATTTAATGTAACTATGAACATAAAGCACGGCCAGTAAAGAGCTTTAATACTGCCACAAAATCTAAAAATTTAATTTTCAAAAATTAAATATTAATTTTAATATATAAATATTTTCAAAATCGTATTTTCAAGTACAATAGGAAATTTTCCAAATAATATACAAACTCAATTGCTCGATTATGTTCCGAAACGCAATACATCAGGGCTCTCAAGTTATCTTTTTCCGTATCAGTACAATTAATTTTCTGCACATGTAAACTAAAAAAATACCAAAAATTTACTAAAAAAAAAGTAAAAAAAAAAAAAAAAAAAAAAAAAGTAACCAAAATAATTTTTTTTTTAAATTACATTTTAAAATTACCCAATTTTTTTGAATAATCCACATGCATGCTCAATGGACACAGCCAAAACTGATTCGAAAACAATAAAAATCACCGTCTCCAATAGTGTATTAAAGGAAAAATGTACAATAATCCAGTAAAAATATTTTTCCGAATAATTAAAAAAATAATACACATGACATGGTAGTTGATTTGTTCGCGATTCGTTCACTGGTAAAATCATATTGAAAAATTGTGGAGTTGATGACATTAGTGTATTATATGTTATTAATGAGCCAATTATGCATCCTGGAAATTGGTGCCATTTATTGAATTCGAAAATTCTAAAAAAAAAAATATCTTCTCATGTAATGAGAATTTAATGTAATGTAACTTTTTCCTTCTTTTATAAAAATAAAGTTTGACCTGTAAAAAAAATTGTGAACCGTCGTCCATGATTTGCGTGTTTTGAAATAATTAATTGATCCTGATCAGAGGACAAACATTCCCAATCGAATTTGATTTCTCGATAAAGTTTTATCAACTGTAAAAAATAATAGAAATTTAAAATTTAAAAACTAATTTCATTAATTTTAATTCAGGATGGCCGCTGGACCGGGAAACCATGAAAACCGGAAAATGAAAAAGCATTTTTTTTTTGTACCGGGAAAACCCGGGAAATGACAGTAAATGATTTTACGATTAAAGATATTAAAAAAAAAATGTATTACAAAATTTTTTGGAAATTCAATGATTTTTAAAGTTTTTAAAATAACCGTGTTTCTTAATAATTGAAATTAAACAATTAAGTTATTGAATTTTATTAAAATTTTTAGAAAATAATTAACATCTTTTTAGAATTTCATTACAATTTTCAAAAATAATTTTAATAAAAATCTTTAAAAATTGAAGTGTTTCGAAGGATTTATTAAATTTTAGAAGATAATTGAATTTTTGCAAAGATTTTACTTTTTAAAAAAATAATTGAATTGTTTCGAAAGATTTATTAAAATTTTAGAAAATAATTGAATTCTTGAGAAAAAATTTTATAACGAATTAAAAAAAAAATTGAATTCTTTCGTGAAAATTTATTGAAAATAATTGAATTTTTGCAAAGATTTTACTATATTTAAAAAAAGAATTTAATTATGAAAGATTTATTAAAATTTCAAAAAATAATTGAATTTAGTCGTGAAATTTTATTAAGAATTTAAAAAAAAATAGGATTCTTTCATGAATTATTTTCAAAGTAGTATTATTAAAAATAATTGAATTTTTTCGAAGGATTTTTAAAAATTTTAGAAAATAATTGAATTCTTTTAAAAAATTTTATAACGAATTAAGAAAAAAAATTGAATTCTTTCGTGAAATTTTATTAAAAATTATTTTAAAAAATTGAATATTTGGCTAAAAATTTTACTATTCATAAAAATAATATTGAATTTTTCAAAAGAATGTTATTACTTTATAAAAATAATTGATTTCTTGCAAAGAATTTTTTTCATTGAATTTCTACAAAAGAATTTTATTATTTATGGAAATACCTAATTGAATTTTTGCAAAGAGTTTTATTAAAATTTTTGAAAATCCTAATTGAATTCTCTTGAAGAATTTCTTTCAATTTCTTTTAAATAAGGGAATTCCTTTAATAAATTTTAATTGAAAATTTTTACAGTAATTGAATTTTATATACAATTTCTTTCAAGTTTTTAAAATAATTTTAATAAAAATTTTTAAAAAATTGAAGAGACCGGGAAATATCAGTGAATTTTTTTTATAAAAAAGTGGCCACCCTGAAATTTTAAGAAATAGTCTTTTAGTCAGAAAAATTGGAAATTTTTCATAAATTATCAAAGAATTAACCTTCTCTTGTTTAAATAAGAAAATAATGCTAAAACTAAGAGAAGTTATTCCTGAACAAACTGTTGGTATACACTCCGTTAGTGTATTCATGTTTCCGCATGCTTTAAAAAAACCAGTTGCCTAGAAAAAAAAACATTTTTGTTAATTTTACTGAAAATTTTTAAAATTTCGAAATTTCGTATTTTAAAAATTTTAAGATTCCAATTTCTATTTGAGTCTGGTTATTTTTGCAACTTTAAAAGTTTTTCAAATAGAACATTAAAAAAATTTTTAAATTTGAAAGTAATTTTTTGAAAATTGTACTGTATTTTAAAAACACTACATATTTTTGAAAGTGAAAAAACTCTGAGAATTAAAATTTTAATTAATAAATATTACCGTTGGAATAAAGAAAATGAATAGATGCAGAATGATGAAACACTGAATGGAAAAATTTCGCTTTTCGTTATGAAAAGGCCACTGGCCAATGCAAGATAAGAAGAATTTATTGACATAAAAATAATGATTGTCGAAGGTGTTCGACATTATATTCCACCTGAAAGGGTTCGGTTAAGTCACACGATTTCTTAGCGGATAAAAGTAAAAAGCTAACTCGCGATAAAATCAATGCCTATAACATAAATTATTTATTCCGTTTTCATCCATTCAGAAAAGAACAAAGTATTATTTGAATTTCCAAAAGGGAATTTTAAATCATCTTTTAACAGAATAAACCTAAAGTTGTAATTATCTTGAATATGTTTTCAAGGGACATTTAATATCTCCATAATTATCTTTATAAATAATTCTTTGTTGAACGTTCACTATAGAATTTTCACCCTTCTTTAGTCTCCATATGTGACTTCGCTGTCAGTTCTCCCTCAATCTTCGAGCAGGAAGTAAGTTTACTTTTCATAAAGAAACAAATTTACTTCTTATCAGTGAAAAATCTGTCTACTATTAAAGACAATAAACTTCGACATCGGAATTCAAAATTTTTATATTCTAACCCACTAGGTCGCTAATTTCTTTTACAAATTTTACAATTTCCATATAATTTTTATTTCCATTTTCCCTTTTGCTAAAATAGTCAAAATCCTCTAGGTTGTCGTTGATAACAGCAAAGTAAAATACGAGAAAGAAGTCTGAAGAACCTAAAGTATTAAAATTAGTAATTGTCCATTTTTTAAAATCACAGTTAGTGTTTTAAATTTTTTATCACTAATAAGAAGAATTATTTCTAAAGATGATAATCTTCAAAAATCGAAAGAGAAAAATTCTTACCGCTGTAGCAGTTCTAAATGATAAATCCAACATTTTCCCAGCTGTTATTTTGCACGGAATTCTGCTCCTCATCATAATAAAAACAAAATTTCTTTTTACTCTCAATTGCATTTGATTCCAAGGAATATCATATCTAGCAAAACCGAAAATTCATTTATTACACAAAAACTATACTTGATAGTTTTTAAAAATAATAATAAAACCTGTTGTTAGAAAATATAAAGAAATATTACACAATATCTGCGAGTTCGGTACTGTGGTCCATTAGTCTTTGGGAAAAAAAATTTGGAATCATAAGATTCGTTGAGGAAGAGAAAACGAACAATCCGAATTTAGCAGCTATTGCAAAATCATTAAGATGCGTAACAATCTAAAAAATGATCATTTTCATTAGAAACCAAAACTTTAGAGATAAAGTAATAGATTAAAAATACTAAATGGAAATTTAATAGAAGTATGTACATGAATAGAAATTTTTTTCTAAATTTTACAGAAAAAAATTTAATCTTCAAAAGTTAAACAAATTTTATTTTGAAATTATCTGAATATACACCTCATATAGTGAGAGAGAAAAGAACATACAATTCACCGACACTACGAAGAAAAGACAAGGACTGTAAATCGATTCAATAATATCGCAATATCTATAATAAAAAATAAAAAATTACATTTTTATATAAAAAAAAATTTTCTGGAATACTTTTAAAAAATTTTTACAAATACAAACTTAATAGCTTGATTATGTTGCTCCACGCAAAAATAAACTATTTGCAAATTTTCCATTTCCGTCATTTTAGCATTAAGCGTTCTTAAATTTAAACTGAAACAAAAATTTTTTATATAACTTCTTTTTCAAAATTTCAAAATTAAAATTTAAACTTTGAAAATTGTAATGAAAATTCATGTTACCTGATTAATTTGAATAAACCACATGCATGTTCGATACTAACAGCTAAAACAGATTCAAAGGCAATTAAAATAATTAGTATTGAAAAGGAGTTACATGTAAAATAAAGGACGATCCAATTGAAATGTTTTTCGGAATAGTTAAGAAAGTAATAGATTGGATATGGCGCTTCCTTTGATCTTGATTCATTTAGAGGTACAATAATATCGAGAAGTCGTGGAAATATCGGCTGTATTATATAAGCAGCTACTGCTCCCGATAGGATTCCTAAAAATAATAATCTTTCAATAAATTCCATCTGTGTAAAACTGACAAAAATTTTTTAAAAATTAATACCCTACATTAAAAATTAATTCCTCGATTTAAACTCTAAATTAAAAAATTAATAATCAAAATTATAATTCTTTTTTAATTAATAAATAAAGTAAAGAAAGATGAAAGAGATTTGCAGACAACAACTTGACCTATACAGATAATTGTAATAAGTCTTCCATAATTTGCGTGGGTGGAAATAATTTTTCTTTCCGGGATAGATGACCAAAATTTCCAAATAGATTCCGTTTCAATGAACAATTCTCTAATCTATAAAAAAGAATACTCGACAACAAAACAAGAAACTATGTTCGTTCCAAAAACTTTCCTAAAACGTTTTTACAAACATATTAATATTCTTAAAATTTTTTTAAACCTTATTTTCCGGGCATGAAAGGTTTTAAGAATCTTTTTGGAACAAACAATTTTTTTTTGCCCAAATTTTTTTTTAACCCTGGTAGGTTATCAGTTCTAAGTAGTTAAACATTTCTAAATTACAAAAACCCATCTCCACCTTTTGGACCTTTACCTTATTTTGTTTAAAATAAAGTACAATCATAACACACAAAAGAGTAATTGACGTAATATCTATTGCGATGCACTCAATCAATTTTTCCATATCATCCCGTGCTTTATAACAACCTCCAGTCTGAGGAAAAATTAGTATTTCAAATGTTAATTCTACAATAATTTCATATATGAAAATAGAGAAAAATTACCAATGACGTAGTGAATATTAATAAATTAAAGAATACGAAACACTGAATGCAAAGGTTCCGTTTTTTATTATGAAAAGGCCATTGGCCGAGACATGTTAAGAAAAATTTAAGCAAATAAAAATAACGGTTATCAAACAGTTTAGTCATTTTTATCAGAAGGTATAATGGTGAACTGATACTTTTTCTTACCTTGAAATAATAAATTACTGTTAAATTAACTTTCCCAGGATAACTAAACTAGAAATACATTGTTAATTCTCTTAAAATTACTTGGGAAGAAACTTTTAAAGAAGTTTAGTTTTCAATTACCTTTATAAATATTTCTGAACTAGAATCAAGCCTCTAGATTTTTATTTTTTAATGCCCATGTATAGGCATTAACCTTTACTGGAGTATAGTTTTCTAAGAAACAGATCATTAATGATGAAACATAACATTTTTGAATCGTACTAACAAGATCTGTTCCGTCAGTAAAAATGTAAATAATTACTAAATATTGTTACAAAAAGTAAAAAAGCAGTAGTTAGACCTAATCGACCCAAAATAAAAGTTTTGGTAGAGGGAAGGAATCATTACTGTTAGAAGTGCTACGAAGTGGAGTAGAAGCCGATTTTTAAAATCTAAGATCGTGAAAATCAGATTTTTAGTAATCGTGTTAATGTATTTACTTTCTGGAAATTAAAAAATTAAACCTATGAGTGGAAATAGGGGATACAGGACACCAATTTAGATATCGCAAAAGTCTACGAGAACCGAAGGTATGACAACATTATTCTTAAAATAACATCATTTATCCAATTATCAATTTATTAAAACTACATGCACTGGAATTTAATGTAAAATTCTTGCAGTGTCGAGTCGACATATCAGTATATAAAATGTCAGCAAAAACTCTAACGATATATTTAATAATTTTACTGCACTTATTCTGCATGGAATTCTGCTTCTAATCATAATAAGTAGCAAACTCTTTTTTATTCTCGATGGCATTTGGTACCAAAATGTATTGTATCTGTAAATTAATAACAAATTTAATATGCTTGCTGTGCTCTCTTAGAAATTATCATAGTTTTTCTGGTAAAAATATATTGGATATGGTATACGAATTTTTTTCCATATAAATTCTTGATAGTTTCTAAGATAATGTATCTAGGTGCGGTATGGGTCCTATAGTGGCATGTGGACCTAACAAAAGATTCCATTATAGTTGGAAAAGCATAGTCGTATATTCGTTCTTTTCTTACTAATGGGATTTTCTAGTTAGTCCATATTCCACCAGGACCCTTGCAGATCTAAGTAAATTATCTATGTTTTAAAATTAAAACTAAGATTTCAATTGTTTTCAACAATTAAAAATTTATACACTTTTAAGAGTTGATATTAAACATTTTATGTAAATTATTACACAGTGTCTGTGAGACTAGTACTGTAGTCGATTATTCTTCGTGCAAATAGAGTGTTGTAAAATAGGTATACTATGCAACTTGCTACAAAGGCGCCATATTTCACTGAGCCTGTGAAATTATTGGAATGTGCGAAAACCTGAAATATATATTTTTAAATAGCCCCTCGGTCGGTAGGAAATATAACCTCGCAGTGCCTCGATCGAAGGTTAGTTGAGAGACGCTATAATCTTCTGTATGCATATTAACTACAGATGGTAATAGAAATACGCAAAAATTCATTTTACCTTCTTCTTTGACAACGCGTACGATACGTATTTCAGTTGGTCGTCTCTCAGCTAACCTCTCAGCTACAAGTCCCGATCAGTTTTTGAATAAAGTAACATGAGTAATTTGTAATTTTTTCTAAAGATATTAATTACATAAAAAAAAATCATTCTTTTAGAAATACGAAATTTGTGACTAAACGGAATTAAGAAAATTAGAGCATTAAAATTTTAGACCCTCACCTGTATGAACGAAACAGAAATAAAGAATCTTTTCAATGTCACTATACACATAAAGCAGGGCCAATAGAGAGATTCAATACTGTCACAAAATCTAAAAAAAAATAATAGGAAAATAGTTTTCTCTAATATTAATAAAAATTTTATTCTACAACTTTTAAATATACAAACTCAATTGCTCGATTATGTTGCGAAACGCAATAAGTCACTGCTTTCAGATTTTCAATTTCAGTCTGATAGCTATGTATTTTCTGTATACATAATCTAAAAAGGAAAATATTTCAGAAAAAAGTAAAAAAAAAACATTAATTTCATTTCAATAAAAAAATTTTGAAACGATATGTGAAGTAGGTGAAGAGAGAGGTAAAGAGATTAATGAATTAGATCAAAGATTGGAGGAATATAATTTTTGGAAAATTAAATTACCCAATTTTTTCAAATGAACCACATGCATGTTCAATCGAAATTGACAAAACTAATTCAAAGCTAATAAAAATACAAGTTTCCAAAACTGTATTAAATGAAAAATAAAGTATAATCAAATAAAAATGCTTCTCCGAATAAGTCACTGAGTAATAAATTTGAAAAGTCCATTCATTCGGTTGCGATTTATTCACCAGGAGGAAATTAAAAACATGTAGAGTTGATATTATTCCATAAGTAATTAACGCTCCTATTATGCAACCTAGAATTTAATTTAAAAAATTTTTTAAATTAAAAATTTTAAACTTAAAAAAAACAGTTAAATTAAAAAATAATTTGCTTAAATGGAAAAAATGTTTTGACCTGTAAAAAAAATGGTCAAACATCTTCTACGGTTTGCACGTTTGGAAATAATGAACTCCTCCTGATTCGATGACAAACATTCCCAATCGAATTTAATTTCACGATATAGTTTATTTAACTGTAAATATTTTTTATTATTATGTACTTTATACTTTACATTCTTAAAAAAAAGGAAAAAGGTTAGATAGTAGGTTCTATTTGCAAAAACTGGAAATTTGACCTTTTCTTGTTTAAAGAAAAATATAATGCTAAAACTAAGAGACGTGAATCCTACAAAAATTGTCGGCATGCCCTCCGTTATTCTGTTCGAATTTCCACATGTCTTCAAAAAGCCAGTTGCCTAAAAATTTATAATAATAAAATTTATAATAATAGTGTACATACATAAAATGTAATTACATTTTTAAAATTATAGATTCTGTAATATTTCTTTTGGAAAATATTAATAATTTTATCGAGACGTTAATTTTACTATATTTATTTTATACAGTTTCGAAATTCAATCAATAGTATGTCAGATTTAAATTACCTTAGAAGTAAAAGAAATGAATAGATGTAAAATTATAAAACATTGTATTGCAAGATTTCTTCTCGTACTGTGAAACGGCCACTGACCAATGCAAGATAAGAAAAATTTATTGACATAAAAGTAACGATTATTAAAGATGTGCGACATTATTGTATACCCTATGGGGGATTGATAAAGACTGAGAATTTTCATAATGTGAAACAGTAGAATCTCTCTCTCTCGCGTATTCTAATTAATTATTTATAATTAGCCATTTAAGAAGGGTAGAAAACACTTATTCGGATTTCCTGAAATGAAATAAATTTTCACTTAGTATTTAACTGAGTGGACAATGTATAATTATCTTAAAATCGTTTCATTGGAACTTTACGGGTTTCCATAATTATATTCATTAATAATTCTCTAACGAGTTTCACGCTATAAAGCACGAAAGTCTCTATAGCTTTTGCAAGCTATTTTTCAGTCAGTCCTTCCTCAACCTTCGATTAGATAGGAACAGTAATGTTTCTCTTCAATTCTGAATAAGAGAGATTTTTAATGATATTTTTACAAAAGTATAACATTGATTCTAATGTGTCTGTATGCACTTAGATTTTTTTCTAAAACTTATTTTCAATTCATTATTTAGGAATCTTCTTTTTTCTTTGAGATAAAATATATTTGTTTCCCTCTACGGTGTCGTTGATGATAGCAGAGTAAAATACGAGAATGAAGCGCGTAGAGCCTGTTAGGGTAAAATTAAGAGAAGTTAAATTTCCACCAACTTGTCACAAAAATATTTTTTATAACGAGAGGAGATTTTTAAATTTTTTTTTTTCATATAAGCAATTTAATCAAAATTGTCCTGTAAATATATTTTTTACCGCTGATGCAAATCGAAATGATATTTCCATAATTTTGCCAGCTGTTATTTTGCAAGGATGATTGCTTCTCATCATCATAAGGAGCAATGGTTTTCTTACCGCCACTGACATTTCATCCCAAGAAACATTGTACCTGCAAAAATTTATAAAGTAGAAATTATTTAATTCCTAAAAATTTTAAAAATAGTTAAAAGTTCAAAATACTCAAAAATTAAAGCAAAAGGTTTCTAAAAATTTATTTATTAATATTAGTATTACACATTGTCTCCTAGACCACTGCTGTGGTCCAATAATCGTTGTGCAGCAACACTGTGAAGTAGAAGATTCACTAAAGCCCCTGACATATAGATTACAGGCTTTATGATCATTTTCATATCACTAAGATTAAAGACTACCTGAAATAGATAAATTTAGAAATAAAGAAAAATAATTGCAATTGTAAACAAAAGTTTATTATTTAAAGTTGAAAAAACAAACCGTTCTCACCTGAATTAGGGAAAAGGACAAGAAGATACAATTCACTATTACCACAAAGAATAGACAGGGACTGAAAAAAGATTCGACGTCGTTGCAGTATCTAAAATATACAGAAAGGATTCACATATTTCCGGATATTAAATATACCATTAAATACATAGTCAATTTTTAAAACAACCAGATTCTGATTTTTCAATTCTTTTCAATAACATAATAAAGTCATAAATATACAAACTCAATAGTTTGATTATGTTGTTTGATGCAAAAAATTACAGCCTTCAAGTTTTCCTCTTCAGAACCATGGGTATCTATTTTCCTTAAATGCAAACTAACAAAAGAAAAGTTTTTAAACAAGAACCTCAAATAAATGATAGATTTTTTTTTCTTTTTGTTCATTAAATAGCTAAACTTTTGTATATAAAAAGCTAAACTCAAAAGCAAAACTCTTAAAGTTTAGAAGCTTTTGTAACCAAAACATCGAACATTCAAAATTACTCACAGATTGTTAATTACCTAATTATTGAAAATAATCCACAGGCATGTTGAATCGTTACCGCCAAAAGAGATAAACAAGTAATTAAAAAAAACATTTGCAGTAGAAAATTTAAGGAGACACAAGCATAAATCCAATAGAAATGTTCCTCGTAATATTCAGCGAAATAATAAATTGGAAATGGCACATCTTTATATCGTGATTCATTTTGAGGTAGAATAATATCAAGAAATGGTGGAACTAATGGCGGTATTAGAACTACAAGTACCAGGGCCATCATAATTACTGAAATAAATTTTAATTTTCAGTTAAAAGTTACTTGTTGGCGTTTCAATTCTTGGATTGGCTTTAAGGGGAGAACCTCCTTTAGACGATCAAAAAATGCATCATTTTTGGGATTTTTTTTCTCGGGTAAAATAACTTCAAACGTTTTGTAATTTATTGGGTATTTTAATACATGTCTTGAGAGTCTAAAAAAATTTTTGAAGAAAAAGCAAAACATTTTTAGTATGGAAATATATACCGCGTCCATGGCACCTCATTTTATCTGTGAACATTCTAGCGCTCTGAATTTTTTTCTAAAACAAAGAAACAAACGTTTTTTTTAAACTTTAGGATAATACCTTCTATGTGACATTTCGAATTTTTTAAAAAAATTTCGAGAATTGATTTTTTTTACCCACTTTTAAGTTAAAAGTGATTTTTCGTGCATAAAAATTAATTTTAAAATTCCAAAAAAATATGAAAAAAAATTTTTTTCAAGAAACACTAAATGTCACATTAAAGATTATTTAATTATCTTTAAAATGATGTATCATAAAGCCCGATTGGTTCAAAAGGGCATTCTCAATCGTGTTCACAAAATTAAAAAATGGTGTTTCGAGAAAAATGCGTTTGAAATTTTTTTTTAAATAAAGTGACTCGAATGTCAAACAAATGAAAGAAGGGTTGCTACATAGAAATTACAAATTATACTGACAGTGGTACTCTGAATGAAAGAAGGAGGCAGATTGAATGCTAAAACAGAAAAAATTCTGGACTCTGGTAAACATTTCACCAGACGACGCATGAAAAAAAAATAATTAAAAATTTTGTAACTTCTTCAATAATACAGAAATCGACTTAAAATTTGACATTTATTACTTTTCTTAAAATATGAGTGTAAAGTGGAGAAGGTGCGAAAAAATGGCACTTTTTTAGCAATTAGAAAATATTTAAAAAAGTATTGAAAAATTCTTAAAAGTGCAAAAAGATTTATTGATTCATGTTTAAAATTAGTTGATTAATTATTCTTTAATAAAAAAAAAACTAGTAAAAATATAAAAATAATAGATAAAATATGTTTTTAAAGTCGATCCGTCAAATAACCTAATTTTGACGTTTTTATCAATTAATTACAAGAAGGTGGAACTATTGAATTAAATAAAAACTCACCGAATATAGAGTATTTTTGATGAACTTTCAGGATTTCTCATCAATTTTTTAATTTTGCCTTTAAATATACAAGAAATATTGAGTTGAAACTTAATAACTCGGTTAAAGAAAAATAAAAAAATTTAGCACTTTCATAACTTCTAAATCACAACGAAATCTATACACTCAAAAATTTTCTTTTTGGTCCCGGGTCTAATTTAAAAAATATAAAGGTTTAAAAATTGCACACTTTTTCAGGTTAAAACTATTTATTTTCTTAAAATTGAAGTTGGCTTTTAATTTAAACACTATGATCGGAACGTGATTTACAATAAAAAACCAACTTCAATTTTAAGAAAATAAATAGTTTTAATGGAGACCCCACCTTAATTTTGACCCCTTTAAAATAAAATTATTAAACGAGGTAATATTTTTTTTCTTGCATCATTTTTAACCTGAACCTTTATTTTTTTCAATTTGATGCTCTGAGTCGAAAAAACATAGTTAAAATTGACGATTACCTCATTTTCATGGTAAAAACTATAAAAATCATGGCTTTTTGCATTTATTTCGGTATATATAAAGTATACCATAAAAGCTTCGAACTATGATTTTTATGGTTTTTACCACGAAAATGAGCTAAATGTCAATTTTATCAATGTTTTTTGAAGAATAGCATAAAATTACGTAAATATATACACAATTTGAAAAAAAATTAAAGATTTAAGGCTTTCGAAATTTTGGCAGAATTTAAAGATTTGAATATTAAAAATCGATCTTCTCTTACAGTTTTTAATATTTTTAAACGAAAATTTTTTTCCATGCATATTTTACCATTCTTAACAACTTCTCGCATGAATTTGCAATAATATGCAATAGGTCAAAAGAAAAAAATTCTAACCTCTTCAAAAATTAAAATTAAATATTTTTGACCATTTCATATGTTTTCAGGTTAAAAATGATGCAAGAAAAAAAAATATTACCTCGTTTAATAATTTTATTTCAAAGGGGTCAAAATTAAGGTGGGGTCTCCCCTTAACCTGAAAAAGTGTGCAATTTTTAAACCTTTATATTTTTTAAATTAGACCCGGGACCAAAAAGAAAATTTTTGAGTGTATAGATTTCGTTGTGATTTAGAAGTTGTGAAAGTGCCAAATTTTTTTATTTTTCTTTAACCGAGTTATTAAGTTTCAACTCAATATTTCTTGTATATTTAAAGAAAAAATTTAAAAAGTGATAAGAAATCCTGATAAAAACGTCAAAATTAAGTTATTTGACGGATCGACTTAAAAAACATATTTTATCTATTATTTTTATATTTTTACTAGTTTTTTTTATTAAAGAATAATTAATCAACTGATTTTAATAAACATGAATCAATAAATCTTTTTGCACTTTTAAGAATTTTTCAATACTTTTTTAAATATTTTCTAATTGCTAAAAAAGTGCCATTTTTTCGCACATTCTCCACTTTACACTCATATTTTATGAAAAGTAATAAATATTTTAATATAATTCTTTTCATTTCGTTCTTCAGAGATCATACAGATTCATTTCTAAAAGTATCAATTTTTTTAAAAATTAGGCCGCAATGACTTTATTCGAAATATAATGGTCTGACCCGTATATTCTTGAATAGTTGTAGAATCAATTAAAATTATTTCCAGAAAGTCGATTTTTTGACGCAATAAAAGAGGTTCCCCCCTTAAAACAAAAAAGCGTTAGATTTGTAAATACATAAAAAATTTTGAAGCAAATACCAGTACAAAGATTGGTAAGAAGTCTTCCATCGTTTGCGTACTTGAACATAATTACTTTTTCCTCATCAGAAGACCAAATTTTCCAATTTGATTTGATTTTATAAAAAATTTTTCTAAACTGAAAAATATGTATACATTTAGAATAACTATTGCTGAAAGTTTGAGATAAAGGAGTTTTAATGTAAGAAATTATATGAATATAGCAAAAGTGAAAATTAACCTTCTTTCGACTGACATGGAAAACGATGGTAAATCCCAAAGCATCGATACATATGAACATTATTTGAAGACATTCTACCATCTTAACCACATCTCCCCATACATAAATCATATAAGATGACTGTGGACATAATAATTTCTAACTTAGAATTTAATTTTTATAATTTTTAACTTAAATTAAAACCTTAGGGTTACAATTTTTTTTATCTAAATTATAACATAGACTTAATCTTTCAAGATGAAAACGTAGTTTTAAGAAAATAGTTTAAAGAAGAAAAATTACCACAGCAATAAAAAAGCCAAAAACGTTACAAAACACAAAAATTTGAATAACACGATTTCGCCTTCGATTGTCGAAGGGCCATTGTCCAAGGCATGTTAAAAAAAATTTAATCACTGAAAAGTAACGACTTTCAAAAATGTCACACATTTCTACTGGATGATCTAATTGAGGACTATAATAGGATTTTTATACCTCGACATAATAAATAAGGGATTAATCGAATAAAGAATTTATTGTTAATTGTTCTGCAATTACATATTGAGAAAGTTGCAAAAAAGTTTACAAGTTTCGATTATTATCTTTATAAATATTTCTGTGATTTGTCTCTAGTTTCTAATGATTATATTCTCCTCTAAGTGAAAAGTTTTCTGTCAGTCTGCCCTTAAGTATAAAGAAAGTAAATTTTTTAAATTAGATTGCTAGGTAATTAAAACTAGAAATTCTTAAGATATTTATTAATTTGAGTCGATTCGAATAATTTGAAATTCAAGTACCTATTGAGTGAGTGAACTGGATAATATGGAAAAAAAAGTCAACTTCAAGGCATCGATAGCTGTAAGTAGTAATTTATTAAATTAACATTTTTTGACACTAATCAAGAATCCGATGTCAGTTTTTCAAAATTAAATCAACCACACTTTTTTTCTATTTCTTAATTTCGCAATTAGTCATTAGATTATCAAAATTTTATTCTCTATAAACATAAATGCAATTTTTATCTTCTCATTGTAAAACAAATAGTGTAGCACTTCTTGGAGCTTTGAGTAATTTGACGTATGATTGATTAAGGTTCTCGTACGTCAGGAATTAATGTTGGACACTTTCAAAAAATAATGATATAATAATTCGACTAATCAATCGAAATTTATTTTAATCCTAAAAGGTCAAAAGTGAATTTTATTTACCTTTTCAGTAATTGAAAAACATATATATTTTTAACAGACAGGAATTGATAAAACTTTCATTACGTAATGTATCATAAACTAATGATTCACTATAACTTACAATTAGAGTCTCTCTACTGAAATAGTCCAGAAAATGATTGTCCAAAGTACTTTACAGTAGTCATAAAATGAAATTTTAATAATAAAGAAAACCATTTTTTTTTAACTTCACTGTTTATAAAAGGTTGTATTTTTAAGTAGTCAGAAATTTAGAATAGGCATTTTGACAGTAAAGTTATTCTTGCGCACAGTATATCACCCAGTAAACGAAAACTAATTGAAATGAATTAAAAAGAATTCACAAAGAGCTTTCGTGAATCCCGCTTTGTGACAAATACGAATTGGAGCCATGATGCAATTTTCCTGAATTCGTGAAACTGTATTGAACTTCCGAACCTTCTATCCGTACCAATTCACTGGACAAGTTTTGAGCCTTTAATTTTTTTCAATTCGTTAGCACGAATTCAATGCATTCCTTGGCCATTTCTTTCGAATGCGAATTCGTTTGGACAAATTGGTACATATTGAATTAAATTCAATTGAATATACAAAGAGCTTGAGTGAATCCCGCTTTGTGACAAATACGAATTGGAGCCTACCAAAAATGTTAATTCGTTTCAATTCATTTGAATTAGTTTTTTTTTACTGGGGCAGGTAATTAATTTACAAAACGAAACTTTGGTTTGTAGAGAAATCTCCTTAATTTTGCTGTGATTAGTTCCAGAAGAAACGCAATAATAGAAAGAGAGTATCCACCAATTAGTACAAAAAGAAGCACTGGCAATAATTTTTCCTTTGTTATATATTCCGGTTCCTGTGGGCTACTCTTTAAAGGAGTATTTTCATAAAATTCGTTGAGTAATCCAAAACCAGAAGCTTTGAGAATTATTTCATTTATCTTTTCAGGGTACGGGGAATTGATCTTCAATTCAAATACATGGAAACCAATAGTAATAGTTCTTTTAAGTATTTTCACATTTATTTAGCCATGTTTAGCTTGATAAGAATTCACGTGATGTGCAGCATCATCAAGAATACAACTTACGTTTCGAAAATTATCTAAATGTTTTAAACAATTTTCCTCAGGACCATATAAAATTGTAGCATTATATACCCAATTAAAAAAAGGAGAACCATAAAATTTTTCGTGTAAAGATTCTATCAAATCATTGTCCATTATTGGTATTAAATGGGATTTAGTAAGTTCACTGAAACTTGAAATTCCTGGAGAGGATTAAAAGCTAATGTCAAGAATTACAGAGTAAAAATAACTAGTGTAGACAATGCAGGCAATGAGAAGTGAACCAACCATTATTCTTGCTGGTAAATTATCTGGTTCCTCGGAAGCTGCCGCTCCCATTATAATTTGACTGATGTTCAACGTTTGCCATGTACTCCTTCGAAATTTCAATAAATATCCAAACAGTCGTATGATACAAATCATACTAATTGTTGCCGAGATCATGTACCAAAATTCAGATGAAACTGCAATGTCATTTCTGACTTTCACCTCGTTTGGAATAACAGCTCTAGCATGACTAAGTCTAAGTACTCGTGAATGATTCTGTACTTCTTGAAATCCCTCCCAACATTTTTTAATATTCAGATGAATTTCAGGATACACTTTACTCTCTTCATGCCTATTTATAAGTTGAAATGAAGCAAATTTAATATGTTCTATCGAATTCATTATTTTACCATTTTCAGAATAAATATATTCTACGTTTGGTTGAAAATTCATTTCCTGCTGCAGAATATTCAATAACTTTAATCCTCTGTTGAATTCTTTTTCGGATGAATCATTGGCGTGTTGAATAGAGAAGTTCAATTTGTAACCATTCATATCAAACAGTTTATTTGGAAACCACTGAGATTCAGATGATATCACTTGCGAGGTGAAATTCTTGAAAAATGGATTCATTTGATGTAAAGTAGGTAATACTGGAGAGCTTGGTTCGATTATTCTTTGCAATTGCTGATTGTTGTACGTCAGAAAAGTAATATCTAAATACCCAGCGTGCCAAAGTTTTTCTAAATTCTTGTTAATCTTATCTTGAGTCATTGCAAAAGAGTATATTATTAGACATCTTGGTCTCGATGATGCTTCGAAGAAATAATAGTCATCATTTATATAGTAGTCATCTTTGATATTGACAATATCATCTGTCATTTGGCGAATAAAGAGTGTAGTACGTCTTAATCCTAAGACAAATTTCCAGTATGATTCAAAATGAAATTCGCCGTTCATGATTTCGTTGTAATTAATAATAAAAGATGGAAAATGCGATTTTACTGTTGTGATGAGAGAATTCATTATTGGATCCGTATTTTTTAGTTTACTATCCAGAATAAATACCACTTGGTGCAAGTTTGAATCCTCATTTAGATACTTTATTAATCCATCAAACATTGAACTATTCAAATAACTACTATTCGGAGACATTCCTAGTATTTCACTCCAGGAAATGTAAAAGAAGAAAAATATTCCTAATAACTTCATAGTGTACAACTACTTTCTTCACTAGTCAAAAACAGACTGTCTAAAAAAATTTCACTTCAAAGTAATGTAGTCTACTCAGTAATCAACAGAATGCGATTAACAGTGGACACTTTCAAAGAGTAATACTATAATTTAACTAATCAAATATATGGGATATTTTCATCATAAAAGTTCAAAAGTTAATTTTATTCACCTTTCGTACTAATCGAAAAACATTAATATTTTGAACACTCTGGAAATTAAAAGTGTTTTCATTACGTATTATGTATCACTAACTCAGAGTCCCCCTACAGAAAAAGTAAAGAAAATTATTCTCCAAAGTACTTTTCTGTTCTCGGTAATAAATTGAAATATATTAATATTAGACACACCTGAAGAATAATAATATTATTAATATCAAAAGAGTTTAACCCTACTTATTTATTAAAAAGCCACTTCAATGGTATGAGTTATTTTTTTTATATTTTATTATTCTATTACCTGTAATCAGCATCATTTTCTTTATAAGAACAAACATTATGGGGTCGTCCATATACCACGTGGACACTTTTTAGACACTTTTTGACCCCCCCCCTCCCCCCTCGTGGACAATCGTGGATTTTTTACGAACCCCTCCCCCCCCCCGATTGTCCACGTGTACAATCGGGTTTTTTATTTTAAAATAGTGAATAATAAAAAGATATTTAATAAGAAATACAATTAAAAAATTCTTTAAATTTTTTTATAACAAACTTCTTTAAAATTCAATAAAGATTAAATTATCTTAAAATATTATTAAATAGGTAAATACCATTTTTAGTATTATAGAGAGGACTTTGGCAGAAATATATCTTCAATTATTATATTAGTAGAAATACTTAATCTCTTCGGTAACAAATCTTAAAGTTTCTAAAATCCAATAGCTTTAAGCCTTCACATAAACAATAATAGAAATTATTTTTTTTAGAATTTGTAAGAGTTTGTAGAGGTTGCTTTGTATTCCTAATTGTCAAATTTGCATATATTCATATTTGTGCATTTACGATAATGATTTTGTAATATAAATTAAAAAAGAATTTGGCGTTTTTTTGACAGTTAAATAAATTTCGGATTACAAATATTGTCTGATCACAATCTAATAATAATCTAATAATAAAGTTGAATAAAAAGAAAAAAAAAGATATAAAATTAAACTTTTGTGTCCACGTGGACATTTGTATTGACCCCCCCCCTCCCCCCTCGTGGAAAATCGTGGATTTTTGGCGAACCCCCCCTCCCCCCTAAACTGTCCACGTAGTATATGGACGACCCCTATACGTTTTATTGAAAATTCTGATGAGGACTCGATATTCGTGTCAAAACACCAAAACCTTTTAAAATAATATAATAATCTAATCTACTTAATAAAAGTTATATAGGCCAAAATAGTCGTAGAAATACAAATGTTATTTTTATTCACCTCTTCAATATTTACAAAAAAATGATAACATTAGGCATTCAGAAATGTATTGGATTAAAAATTATATATCCTAATAGGCCACTTGTAATAGAAAGAGAATACATATTATCAAAAATTTTACCTGAAATTCATTTTTTAATCAATTTTTCGAGAATTCAATTATTTAAATAGAAAAATAAATAATTTATTGAATAATTGAATTTTTATGAAGAATTTTATTAAAATATTTAAAAATAATTGAACTCTTTCGATGAATTTGAAAAAAGATTTAAGAATAAATGCAATTTTCTATCAGTTTATTTAAAATTATATTAAAAATATTTGAAATTCTGCGATAAGTTTTGTTATTTATTCTTGCAACGAATTTTATTAAAAAATTTTTAGAGAATTGAATTCCTGTGAAAAAGTTTAATTGTAAAAACAATTGAATTTCAGAGAAAAAATATTATTATTTATGAAAATAACTAATTTCTTGTGAAGATTTTTTTTTTTTTTTAAATAATTAAATTCCATCGAGAAAATTTTTATTAAAATGTTGTTTAAATAATTGAATTCTTTTGGAAAATTTTATTAAAATAGTATAGATATTAAAAATCACTGAATTGATGAAAATTTTTGAAAATAATTGAAATTTTGACAAGAATTTTATTCAATTGTTTTTAAAATTTCTATTTAAATTTATTAAAAATTGAAATTTTCTAAAATTTTAAATTAAATTAACACTAGTGCTAATTATTAAAGATAGGATCCTACTTTTAGAGGATTCCAATGTAGCGCTTTTTAAAAATTTCAAATTCTTTGATATTAATTAATTTAATCAATTTAAATTTCCCAGCTTACAAACTAAAGGAATAGGATATTAAAATAATAAAAACACTTTTTTTCTATGTAAAAATGATAAATAAACTTTATTTACGAACGACTTTATCACAATGTACTCAGTTTAAAAATCTATCTGGAAAATTTTTCAACACGATGAAAATACATTATCCCATATACAATAATCGATACAATGCATTTTAATCTATGGTAAAAAGTTAAAGATAGACAATTAATCTGTAAAAAAAACAGGACTAGGCGTTTTGCAACCTAGGAAATTCCTTCCATTGTCATTCGAAAAGAAAAAAGATGTCATAAATCTGTCTTTGAAAAATTTAACGATTCAAAATCAAATTTATGAAAACTATTTTCTAATTCTGTCAGCGGAGGAAATTATACAAGGTGTGAACAGAACGTTCAGCCCCGACATGAAAACTAATTTTACAATATTAATCTTGAGTTCTAGAAACAACTTGTTAAAAATATAATCAGTCTCAAACACTTTTTTTTTGAAAATACTGCAAAGTCTTTTTTTTATAAATTAGTTGATGAAACAGGTACTGTTGATGTAGACTCAGATGTTCTAGTTGTTGCCTTGTTTGTTAGCCTTAGACTCAGATGTTCAGTCTTAGGCTCAAGTCTTGGACTCAGATGTTTAGTCCACTTCCTCCACAGTGGGTCCCGAGTATCCTTGTTGTTGACCACCTTGTCTAAACTGACTCCCACAGTTTTGCGCTCCATAAGCAGAGGCCCCACCACCACCTTGATGAATTTTCGTCATGAGAGGCGCGCACAATTTCTGTATCTCCTCCAACTTGTGGACAAATTCCTCCTTCTCGGCCAGGGTGTTATTGTCGAGCCAGCGAATAGTCTCCTCGCACAGATCCAAAACGGTCTTCTTCTCCGAATCATTCAATCTCTCGCCACACTCCTGAACCGCCTGCTTGACAGTGAACACATAGCTCTCGATTTTATTCCTAGCCTCAACCTTCTCCCGCTGCTGTTGATCTTGATCCCGATATCGTTCAGCCTCGGCCAGCATTCGATCGATCTCCTCCCTTGATAATCGACCCTTGTCATTAGTGATGCGAATGTTGTTGCTTCGCCCACTGGCCGTGTCCTTAGCGGTCACGTGAAGAATACCATTTGCATCCATATCGAAGGTGACGTCGATCTTGGGCACACCTCGTGGTGCAGGTGCAATTCCACTGAGTTCGAATCTACCCAGAAGATTATTGTCCTTTGTCATTGCGCGTTCGCCTTCGTACACCTGAATACTGACGCCGGGTTGATTGTCGGCGTAGGTGGTGAATGTTTGTGATTGTTTGCAAGGAATACGTGCGTTGCGCTCGATGATGTTCGTCATGACCCCACCGGCTGTTTCGATGCCCAGTGACAGTGGTGCAACGTCCACTAGAAGAACGTCCTGGAGAGTTGTATTCGCACCGCCGTCGCCACTGAGAATAGCCGCTTGTACAGCCGCTCCATAAGCGACAGCCTCGTCGGGATTGATGGACAAATTCAACTGCTTGCCACAGAAGAAATTCTGCAGCATACTCTGGATCTTTGGTATGCGCGTTGAACCTCCGACCAGTACAACTTCGTCGATTGATCTCTTGTCGATTTTAGCGTCCGCCAATGCCTTCTCAACGGGTTCGAGTGTCGCTCGGAATAAATCGGCGCACAATTCCTCGAAACGTGCACGCGACACTTTGGTGTAAAAGTCCAAACCCTCGTAGAGTGCATCGATCTCAATGGTGGCTTCGGTGCTTGACGACAGTGTTCGTTTAGCCCTCTCGGCAGCTGTTCTCAATCGCCGAAGACTTCGTGGGTTTTGGCTTAAGCTCTTCTTGAACTTTCGTTCGAATTCCTTGCAAAGATGTTCCACGAGTCTGTTATCGAAATCCTCGCCACCCAAATGGGTATCGCCTGCTGTTGATTTCACCTCGAATAGTGAACCTTCGTCGATGGTTAGTACGGAGACGTCGAATGTTCCACCGCCTAGATCGAATATTAAGATGTTCTTTTCGCCCTTGAGATTTTTGTCGAGACCGTAGGCGAGTGCAGCGGCTGTGGGTTCATTGATGATTCGCAAGATGTTGAGTCCGGCAATTGCACCGGCGTCTTTGGTGGCCTGACGCTGTGAGTCGTTGAAATACGCTGGCACTGTTACCACCGCGTCCCTCACTGTTTTGCCGAGATATGCCTCTGCTGTTTCCTTCATTTTCGTCAGAACCATTGAACTGACCTCCTCTGGATTGAACCTCTTTCTTTCACCGCGGAACTCGACGTCGATCTTTGGCTTGCCTGCAAAACAAAAAGAAATTTGATATTTATTTTCTATCCACCAAAGAAAACTGAAAATACTTTATTTGTGCAACTAAATAAATTCCAATATTCTCTAAATGTATTAATACCCAAAATAACTCTTCAGAAATATTCTAAATTAAGTTTCTTGAAATTAGCGTCGACTCTATTTTTTTTTAATTTTTAGTGATAAAAATTTAACTAACCTCTCTTCATTAACTTTCATACATTCAACTAGAATTCTAAAATATTTTATTACACTATTTGAATCTAAAATTTTTTGAACGTTTAATTTTCGGCTTTTGTAAATTAGCGTCAACGCTAAGAGTAAAAATTTGTTTTTTAAATACCAAAAAAGGAAAATATTTCAAAAGTTTTAGATTCAACCTAAAAAAATGTTTACCTCTAAAAACCTTCTAACCTCTCAAAAAATTTTACAATTTAAGTGAATAAAAACAGTGATATTAGTGATAATTTTGAGTAAAAAAAAATATTTTTCGACGCTAAATTCAGGAACTTCTACATTAGTGAATAAAAAAATATTTACTGAATCACTAAACAAATTTAAATATTCTTTCGTTAATTAATCTCGCAAAAATTGAGAAATATTCAAAATTAGCGTCTCTGAATTTAGTGTCATCGCTAAAGCAAAAATTCGAAAATAATTTAATAAATATAATTACCGGAACAGAAATCATAAAAAGTTGAAAAATAATTAAATCAGTAAATTTCTATTGAATCACTAGAGAAATTCAAATATTCTTCATTATTCACTAATTTAGCGTCAACGCTAAGAGAAAAAATATGTTTTTTTAACACAAAACCAAAAAAAGGCCAATATTTCAAAAGTTTTAACTTCAATAGTGCTCTAAAAATTTTTACACTTTAAGTAAATGAAAACAGTGATATTAGTGATATTTTTGAGTAAAAAAATATGATTCGACGCTTAATTCAGAAACTTCTAAATTAAATAAAAAAAATTCAGAAATATTCAAAATTAACGTCTCTGAAGTTAGAGTCGTCGCTAAATAAAAAATTCCGAAATATTCTAAATAGAGTTCTCTGAATTTAGCGTCGACGCTAAAGTAAACATTCAGAAATATTTAAAATAAGTTCTCGGGGTTTAGCCTTTTTAAAACAATTTTAATTCACACAATTGAACAAAATTTTCTATTTTTTTAGTAAATTGAAATTTTGTTTATAGAAAAAATTTAGTGAATAAAAAATCAATTTTGAAATTAATTTTTAACAATCGAATCGGGAATTTCAAAAAAAACTCTGAAAATCGTAACAATCACTTTTACTATCAATAGTTTTACTTGAAAACGACTCTTACGATTTTAAAAATTCACTATTATTTTAAAAATCGGTTTGAAAATTATTTGAATTATTTAAAAAAAATTAATTTAACAATTGAATCCTGAATTTCAAAAAGGCTCACATCTAAAAACCATAAGGGTCACTTTCGCTATGCAATGTTACTTGAAAATGACTCTTACGGTTTTAAAAATTCACTTTTATTTTAAAAATTGCTTTAAAAATTATTTGAATTACTTGAAAAATTATTTTAACAATTAAATCGTGAATTTCGAAAAAGTCTCTAATCTGAAAACCGTAAGGGTCACTTTCGCTAGCCATTGTCATGCGAAGATGACTCTTACAACTTTTAGAGTCGATCTCTCTTCGAAATTCACTATTATTTTTTTAAAAAAAGTCGTAAAAATTTGCAGTTTCGCTAAAATTTTTCCAAAAATACAATTTAGAGAATTAATTCAAAAAAACGTCTTATTCACTGAAGTACCAAAAAAGAATTAAAACCCAAAAAACTAGGCTCATGAATAGACCCCAATTTTTATTTTCCGAATCTTTACATTATCGAAATTCTTTTTGTCTAATAAGAATTAATTTTAATTTCTTTTAATTATAATAATTTAAAGAAACACTGTTTTTGAATGACCGATTGACTATTTTCCAATTTTTAAGATTTCTAAATTTTATTTTATCGAAATATCATTTGTTTTAAAACTTTTTTCTTAGAAATGTTTTTCAAACTAATTTTTTAACTTCATTGAATTAAGATTTCTTATAATTTTATTTATAAAGAAAATTTATTTATAAATATTTATAAAGAAAATTTCTTTAAATTATTATTTCTGTTAAAAGAAAATTTGAATTAATTTTTTTCAGAAAACTCACCTCCATCGTTGACGACTTTAAACGGCCAGTGTTTGATGTCACTCTGGATTTTGGGGTCGTCAAATTTTCGTCCAATTAACCTTTTGGCGTCGAAAACGGTATTCGCCGGATTCATAGCCACTTGATTTTTGGCGGCATCGCCAATAAGACGTTCCGTATCTGTGAAGGCAACGTAGCTGGGTGTTGTTCGATTGCCCTGATCGTTGGCGATTATTTCCACTTTTCCTTGTTGCCAAACTCCCACACAGGAATATGTTGTTCCCAAATCAATTCCAATTGCAGACATTTTGTTGTTTGTTGTTGTCTCACTTTTGTTCGTTTTATAATAATTATTATTATTAAAGTTTGCGTTAGACGCTTTAATGTTATTCGTTTGATTGCTTTTCATGTACTGCCAGCTCCGGGCACGCTCACCTCTTATATACTCGACGTTCGTTTCGCTCGATACTTCTCGACGAGTTCTAGAAGCTTCTCGACAATTCTCACTCGGGGGAGAAATATATAAATAGTAATTTCTTACTTATTCTCCTTATTCTCATTTTTTTCTCTCGATTTTTCTCTCTTGGTGAATTTTCTTCTATTTAGTTTTCTTCTTTCTGTTTTAAAACTTAATTTTATCATTCATTAATTTCTATTCTTTTTCGATTTTTTCTACGAATTTACCTGAACTTTCGAGAATATTCCCGAGTGTTGCAAGCAAATTCTTTCTCTACCAGTGTCTCTGTATCTGTTTTGTTCTCGTCCCAACCAGACGCTTCGAGAAATTTCGACAAAGTTCAAGAAAGTTCATTATTTATTTATATTAAATTCTGAGAAATTTATTTCAATTCCAAGAAATTTATTTTACTTACAGGAATTTCGACAAACTTCTTTATTATTATTTATATGAAATTCCGGGAAATTTATTTCAATTCAAGGAATATTTCAATTTCTCGTAATTCTTTTTCAAATTTTTTCTTATTTTACTGTTTTTTTGCGATTTTGCTATTTTTCTTTTCTTTTCTTTTCTATTGTTTATTAAATTATTTTAATTATTTTTCAAATTATTTACATTATTATTTAAAGGAAATTCGCTCTCAAGCCGGTAAATTTTTTCAATTGGGTTCGTATAAAATTATTTGTTTCGATCTTCTTCCGGAAAGTTCGAGCATATTCCTTGGGTGTTTTTCTTTCTCGCTTTGATAAGTACAAACAGTTAAAAATAAATGAAGGTGTTTACTTACCATTTTTTCTTCGCGTATTTATTATTATACTTCTTTCACTGAATTTTTTTGTTTGTAATTATTCACACTTCATTCACTATTATCATAACAAAGACGCGAATAAAAATAAAATTTTTTGCTTAAATTAAATTTTTAAATTTATCATTTTGGTGGAAATATAATTATTTATATAAAATGAGGGAGAAAAATAACAATTGTTACAAAAATGAAATAAATTATTCAAATTACAATGAACCTAACTTTTCATATTAAGAAATTTAACTTTAAAAAAATTTTTTTTAAAAATATTTTCAATTTAAAAATTACCTAATGTATTCAAAATCATTGAATTCTTGCAAAAAATTTTATCAAAAAATTTCAAGAGAATAATTGACGTACGTGAAGTTAGCACTCAAGCCATGAAATATATGATTCTTTTCAATTGGAAAGGATTGGTGGTCGTTTGGTGATCGTTAGGTGCTACTTCTCAACTTTAGGTGGTCAAAAATAAAAAATCTAGAAACTTTTCAATTTTAGAGTGCTAACTTCACACTTGCACTCCAGTTTTTAATATTTTTTAAAATTTCTTTTACGTATCGTTTGGTGGTCGTTTGGTGGTTGTTAGGTGGTCCTTTTTAATTATTGGTGGTCATCCTAATAATTAATAATAACATTTTAAAAAAATGAACACGCAGGCGATTTTGTTCAAGTTCGAATGGCGCCAAAATTTAAATTAAGGAAAGCTTATTACACGTTTAAATTAAACAAAACCTCTGATTAACTATAATAATTTAACTAAAATTTTCAGATAATTTAAGTTTTATAATAATATTGCTCTGAATATAAGAAAAACTATTAAAAAACATTTTGTACATAGTTAAACTTTTACTATATACTTGTTGGATTAATTATTTCCAATCACTGCATTATTGAATATTATTATTATTATTAATTATTACACATTTATTTAATATATGAATGTTTTGTAGAGTGCCAAATTCACGTTTGCATTTTTTTAAAAATAATATTCATTTTTTTTAAACAACTTTACATCAATCGTTTGGTGGTCGTTTGGTGATCGTTAGGTGCTACTTCTCAACTTTAGGTGGTCAAAAATAAAAAATCTAGAAACTTTTCAATTTTAGAGTGCCAAATTCACACTTGCACTCCAGTTTTTAATATTTTTTAAAATTTCCTTGACGTATCGTTTGGTGGTCGTTTGGTGGTTGTTAGGTGGTCCTTTTTAATTATTGATAGTATGTAATCCTTTTTATTTAAAATGTCAACTTAAAAATATTATCTATTAGATAACTTACAATTGTTGTCAAATTTACATACACATTTTCAATAACTTTTTGTTACCTTTTTCAAATTTGCAAATAGTTAACAAGATTTCGGTAAATATATGTTAACTTTTCAAAGTCAACAATTTGATGGTTACATTTCGTTAACTTTTTGTTGACAATTTCCATTACCAAAAAGGTGACTTGAAAACGGTAACTTTAAGTTATTAAAACGTGAAGTGTGCCGCCTGGGACCATTCGACTATTAAATTATTGATTAGAAAAGTTTAAAAAAATACTAAATTTTTAACAAAAAATTACAAGTGTCAAGTTAACACATCAATTAAATTGCAAATTTATAAAGAATAAAATTCACAAAGTAATTAAAAAAATTGCATTTGTTAATATAAAATGTTTGTAAAAAAAATTTACTTAATTAAAATACTTTGTATGAAGAGGAAAGATTAATTTCCCATCCTAAAGATAACCATGTCGCCGCAAACAAATCGGTATCCCCAACATGTTCCAGGAATATCTTGAATATACGTGTGCTATGAGGGTTTCATTGAATAACAATTTAAAAAGATTTTTTGTTATTGTACTATGTATTACATGTTATATATATATATATATATATATATATATATATATATATGTTATTGAAAAAAGTTTATTAAATTATAAATATTGTTAGAATGATATTCAATTGAGGGTTCTATATTATTTCAGTTATCTAAAGTTTTTGAATTAAAATAATTTTTTGAATAATGTAATTTGAATATCAGCGCCCTTTGAATGAAAGCAGAACCCTTCCGTATAAAAACGCATAAAAAGGATTACATACTATCAATAATTAAAAAGGACCACCTAACAACCACCAAACGACCACCAAACGATACGTCAAGGAAATTTTAAAAAATATTAAAAACTGGAGTGCAAGTGTGAATTTGGCACTCTAAAATTGAAAAGTTTCTAGATTTTTTATTTTTGACCACCTAAAGTTGAGAAGTAGCACCTAACGATCACCAAACGACCACCAAACGATTGATGTAAAGTTGTTTAAAAAAAATGAATATTATTTTTAAAAAAATGCAAACGTGAATTTGGCACTCTACAAAACATTCATATATTAAATAAATGTGTAATAATTAATAATAATAATAATATTCAATAATGCAGTGATTGGAAATAATTAATCCAACAAGTATATAGTAAAAGTTTAACTATGTACAAAATGTTTTTTAATAGTTTTTCTTATATTCAGAGCAATATTATTATAAAACTTAAATTATCTGAAAATTTTAGTTAAATTATTATAGTTAATCAGAGGTTTTGTTTAATTTAAACGTGTAATAAGCTTTCCTTAATTTAAATTTTGGCGCCATTCGAACTTGAACAAAATCGCCTGCGTGTTCATTTTTTTAAAATGTTATTATTAATTATTAGGATGACCACCAATAATTAAAAAGGACCACCTAACAACCACCAAACGACCACCAAACGATACGTAAAAGAAATTTTAAAAAATATTAAAAACTGGAGTGCAAGTGTGAAGTTAGCACTCTAAAATTGAAAAGTTTCTATTTTTTTTTTTATTTTTGACCACCTAAAGTTGAGAAGTAGCACCTAACGATCACCAAACGACCACCAATCCTTTCCAATTGAAAAGAATCATATATTTCATGGCTTGAGTGCTAACTTCACGTACGTGAATAATTGAATTCCTTGGAAGAATTTTTTTGTATTTATGAAAATAATTGAATTATCGCGATAAATTTTATTAAAATTTTTTAAAATCCTAATTAAATTCTTTTGAAGAATTTGTTTAAATTTTTTTTAAAATAATGGAGTTTTTTTTTTAATAATTTTAATTGAAAAGTTTGAAAACAATTGAATTTTATGAAGAAGAATTTTATTAAAATTCTATTGAAAATAATTGAATTCCTGAGAAGAATTTTATTATTTATAAAAAAAAATTTAATTCTTGGGAAGAATTTTACTATTTATAAAAATAATTGAATTGTTCCGATGAATTAATTAAAATTTTAGAAAATAAATAAATTTTATGTGAACAATATTTGAAAATAATTAAATTCTTTTGAGAAATTCTATTAAAATTGTTTTAAAATGAATTGAATTTCTGCAAAGAATTTTACTATTTATAAAAATAATTGAAATGATCGAAGAATTTGTTAAGATTTTAGGAAAAATTGAATTGTTTTGAAAAATTTTATAGAAATATTTGAAAATAATTTAATTTTCTCGAGAAATTCAATTAAAGTTGTTTCGAAAATAATTGAATTCTTTCATTTTTTTTTACGAATATATTTAAAAATTGCATTGAAAATAATTAAATTTTCATATAGAATTTTTTTTAATATTTCGAGAATAATTGAATTATTTTTAGAGAATTTTAAAATCTTCATGAAATTGAATTCTCCTGAAGAATTCAATTAAAATTGTTTTGAAAATAATTGAATTCCTGCAAAAAATTTTACTATTCATAAAAATAATTGAATTGTTTCGAAAATTTTTTGAAAATTGAATTCTTTTGAAAAATTTTATCAACGAATTAAAAAAAAAATTAAATTTAATCTTTTTGACAAGATAAAAAATAATTTTTCATAAAAAATAATAAATAACAGTTTTTTTATACATAAATATCACAATTTTTCATTTTCAAAATTTCAGAAACAAGTGATATTAATTATAATTATAATATTATTTATAGTTATGAAAAAATAAATTATTATTAATAAAGAAAATGTATTTCTTTATTTAAAACAATAAATTTGTTTAAAATAAAAACGAGTTTATGTAAAAAAAATAAATTTATTTAAAAAAATATTTTATTTTACAAAAAATAAATTAATTTCAATAATAAATTTGTAAATTAATTTTATTTTTATTTTGGTTTCTAAATTAAAAATATAATTTCATCGGGCGTTAAATTTTTCTAGAGGGGGGAGGGAGGAAGACAACTAAGACCCTGACAATTATATGGTATTAAATTCGAATTTATTTTGCCATATCTTTTTTTTTTTAATTAATGAATTATATCATAACTGACTAAATTATAATATTCTTATTGAAATTGACATAAACAGTCTTCTTAAAATGCTTGCTCCCTTGCAGCTTTTACATAATAATATATTATATATGTGAAACGAAATACAGAATCAGTCATCCTATCAATTAGGTGAATCAAAGAATTATATTTTTTATTAATATTATCATTATTATAATTATTAAACATTATTTTTTTTCTTTTATTATTAATAATTATTTTCATTATTTTTATTATAATAATAATTATTATTTTTTATTTTTATTATAATAATCATTATTTTTTTTTATTTTTATTATTATTGTAGTTTATAACTACTAAAATTTTTCATATTATAATATGTATTTATAATTTTCTCGATCATATTTGTTTTTTATTTCTCTCCAGAAATAAAGACTTCTCCTATTTCTTTCTTTCTCTTTATTATTTTTATAATATTTCAAATCCCTTTGTTTCTTCAATTCCATCTATATAATTATTATTATATAAATTTCCCAAAATTCTCGAGGTTGAAAATCATATTTTTTCACAGATAAATTTCAAAAGTTACTATATAAAAAATAAATTTCGAAAAAATAATAATTTCAAAATTAAAAAAAATACAAAAATTAAAAAAAAGATTAAAAAATTTAAAAAATTTGAAAAATTTGTTTTAAATTAATTAATAGCAGTAAATTCTATTAATTTTCTTTTAAAATAAATAAATTTTTACTTTTTAATTCTTACAATTTTTTTCCTAAATCCAAAAATAACGTAAAAAATAAATTTCTTAATAAATTTTTCTATTCCTTAATTTTTTGTAAATAAAATTTTTTTAAATAAAATGTTTAAACTTAATAAATAAGTTTTAATCTCAATACATAACTTTTTCTACTTTTCATTTTTTATAAATTTTCTTTGAATAATATTTTCTATAAATTATATTTTTTTTTAATAATATTTTCTATAAATTATATTTTTTACAGTTAATTTTTCTTTAATATATTTTTATATAAAATTTCTCAACTTTAAAGAAGAATTTAATTTCAAAAATTTACATATATCTTTTGTAATAATTGAAAAGCATTTTGAATTTTCGCTCGAAAATTTTCAGGAAGAAAAATCTTTTTATCTTATTTAAAAATTCACAGAGTTTATAATAGAAAATTGAGGAGAAATCTTTAATATTTTTTTTAGTGTCGGTTACGGGGTTGAGGGAGGAGTGCAAGTTTGATTAAATTTTAATCCAATAACGCTCTTTATTTACATAAATATGGTATTGTGTATATATTATTTGTTTTTAAATAACAATATTTGAAAAATGTTCAAAAAGAAAAATTATCGAGAGAATGAAATATATTATAGAGCGTTAAAGGTGAATTTAAATTTTTTTTCGTTTTTTTTTTACTTTTTTCTTTAATGGTAAGAGATCAAAAATATTTTTTGATCCCGGGCAAGAAAAGTCATACAACATTATATAACATTTAGGTGTGTAATATATAACGTTATGTAACCATTTGAAATTTTTTATAATTTTAATTATTCTTTTTTTGTCTTGGAGATTATTGGAGATATATATAGAGATATATTTATTACATCCTAAATTCTTTTCTTTTTCTCTTCTGCTGTATTACATAAAATTGAATTTTCATTTTGTCTTTTCGTGTATTTTTTTTTCTTTTATAATAATTATGTAATTGTGTTTTTTATGAGTGTGTAAAGCGTATTTATATTATATATATATTTTTTTATAAATACGTAAACTAACTACAATAAATTATTAACGTCGTAACTCGCTTAATTTCTACTTATCTATTTACACTAGAATTGTCGTTTGAGAAATTTTTTTTTTTCTTTGAGATGCGCTTTTATATATGGAAATTTCTCCCTCGTGAGTAGTGTGAATTTTTTTCTTTTGTTGCAATTTTCAAAATAAACCGCGAATTTTTCATTTTTTATACTCATAATACTTGGAAAAATAATTTATTTTTTCATATCTATGATAAAAAGATTTTTATGCTATAAATTATTAATATTTATAAATAATAAATATATAAAAATTAGAAATATATTTTATTACAAACATATATAAATTATAAAAATATATAAAATATACACAGATTAAAATTTACTTTTATTTATTAATTAAATTTTTCAAATTTAACTTATAAACTTAAGTTTGGAAAATAATTTATAAAATTCAATTCTGAATTTTATTTATTAACTAAACATACTTTCAATTTGGTTTCTTAATTAAACATATTTTTAATTTACAGAATTTTTTATTTAAAAATACATTTAATTTCTTAATTAATCATGTTTTGAACTTTTCGAAATTAAACGTATTTTTTCATTCATTTTTAATTAAAAATTCGTTTAATTTAACTCAATTGAAAATATTTTTAATTTCTTAATTTAACTTTTTGATTTTCATTATCAAATAAAAATAGTTCATTGTACAAATAATTTTAAAAAATTGATAATAAATAATTATAAATTATTTTTTTATTATAATTATAATTGTTAATAAATTCAATTATTATTATTTAAATTATTAATTTAATTTATTGACTAAACAATTATAAATTATAATTACTATGAATTAAATAACATGAAATAAATATATTGTATTCAGAAAATTAAATTAAATTTACAATTTTGAATTTGATTTTTTAAAATTTAGTTTTTCAAATACAAGTGTATTTGCATTTTTTTTCAATTACGTTTATAATTGAAAAATTCTTTTTAAAAATTGAAAAAATCTTGAAAATTTTGCATCGAATAGAAATATTTTTTTATTTTAATTAAATCTAAATTAAAATTTGCTTTTTTTGAACAGTTAAAAATTCTCGGTTTATTTTGTTTTATAAAGTGTGACTCGAGAGTTTTTTTTTTTTTTGAATGGAGCTTTTTATTTTTTTAAAACTGGACTGTTTTTTTTCTTATTTCTGTTTCTGCACGCACTTATTGGCAGTGGTAGCTCAGAATTTCTTTTTAAGGCAGTTGGCATCCTCCGTCGAAACATTTTATCGGCGAAATAATTGTTTTTTCATTTCTATGAAAGTTTTCATTTGAATGAAAATTTTATTTTGATAAATGTTTTCACTCTATTATGTTCAAGAAGTTTTCTTTTCATTTTGTAAACTCTTTTTTTTGTTTCCTTTTGCATTAAGTGAAGAGATTTCGAAAAAAATTGTTTTTTTTCAGGAAAATTTCCCGAAATTATTTCTAAATTTGTCCCCAAATTGTAAAAAAAAAAAGAAAAAAGTTACCTTATACTGTGAATTTCCTTTCTTCAATTCAGTTCATCATCTTCGGATTGGTTTTGAATAACGTTGACGAATTTTCTTTCCCTCTTTCTTCCAGATCCAATTGAACTTTTCTCCTTTTTCAATAATTATATTATTTCTTCTTCTATTTTTTCTTCCATAATTCAGAAATAAAATTCTTCACTTATTTTTTTGCAAAATTTCCACTATTTTTCAAAATTTTCGAATTTCTTTTAGAAAGACGCAAAAATTCGTTTAATTCGTTTTCTCAATAAATTTTTGTTTCTCTGCGCTTTCTTCATTTCTCCGAGAAATCTCTTCTTTTTTGGTTCCTTTCATTTTAAAGTAAATTCTCTATTTTGTGGTGTCTTTTTTTTCGTGACTGGTGGAAATTGAGAAGAAAGTATTTTTTTAAAAAAAGGGGAATCTCGAAGATTTACTTTTAAATTATCCAACCGCCTTAACTCTTTGTCCTTGCATTGGATTTTTTAAACGAGTTGCCGTTTTGATTTGGAGCATCAATTTTTCGTCGATCGAAATCGCCATTGATCGATGAAGAATTGTAGGTAAGTTCGGGTCACCAGGCCTCCGTGTAGCGCACGTCAAACTCCTGAAGTGACGGCAATCTCTTCTTCAGCGACTCAAACGTTTGTGCCGATAATTTAGTGCTGTTCAGGTTCAATTTTCGTAGGCTCGTCAATGCTGCAAAATTTGCAATTTTTTTTTTAAATTTCATTTATTCAAATACAAAAGAAAAAATTGTCTTTTAAATTTATTAAAGAAATTAATAAATAGAAAAATTGATAAATAGAAAAATTAATAAATAAAAAAATTAATTAATAGAAAAATTAATAAATAAAAAGTTAATTAATAGAAAACTTAATTAATAGAATAATAATCTATATTAATAATCGTGATATTTGCTAGTTAATAAATAAAATTTTTAAAAAAGTGGAGAAACTTACAGGCCAGAGTGGAAATGCCCTTATCGGAAACAGGCGTCTCGCAGAGATTGAGAACCTGAAGTTTTTGTAGATGTTCACTTATCATTTGTAGGCCCGCGTCACCAAATTGAGTCGCCCATAAATTCAAATACCTCAGGGCGGGTAATTTTATTAATTGTTCGGCACAAGCGGACGTCACTGAAGTGAATGCCAAACTCAAGCACTCTAAATTGCCCAAAGCTCCGCCTCCAAGAAGTAATGCAACATCCGCATCGGTGGCACGAACTGGAAGCGTCAATTTTCTCGGTCCACCTTTTTGTTGCTGTTAAAAGAGAAAAAAAAATTAGGTGTCAAATTAAAAATCAAAATGTGGCATTGAAAAAAATTAATCGTCATAAATTATAATAATTCCAAAAAGTAACTCACCAATTCTTGGAGATTTCGCTGCTTCTGACAAAGAGCGGCGTAACGATTTCTCCCCGATTCAGTCGATTGAAGAGCGGAAACAACTTGAAGTCGTGCCTCTTCGTTTGGCAATAGACGCCATTCTAGCATGAGGCAGAGAGCCTCTTGAGCCGCATCACAGCCTCTTACACCCAATAGAATACAAGCACCGCCGGCTTGCTTCATCAATGAGCTGATGAACCGCTTTCTTCGACAGCAACAACCCAACAGCGTTGTTAACTAGAAAAAAAATATTATTTCTATAACACACATACTCGAAAAATCTTATGTGAAGCGGGTTGAAACTTCACATTGTGCATCCACTGCCAAAACTCGATTACGTTTCTGTAACGTAACCGTAGTAATTAAAAATAAATAATTGAATTCTCGTAGAATTTTCTAAATGAAAAATTATTAAAAAAATGAATTTTAGTTAAAAACACTAAAAAAATTGAATTTTGAAGAAAAGCTACAAATAATTGCAGAAATTCAATTATTTTCAAAACTAGTAAAATTCTTCAAAGGTATTCAATTATTTTTAATACAATGTTAAGTAAATTCTTCGAAACAAAATGTCAAAATATGAAAAAATGTCAGTCACACTTGAATATTTTTATTTATTACGAAAAATTAAAAAAAAAATCGATTAAATAGTAATTTATACGTGCAGTAACCTTGTAGAATTTTCCTACTTTTAATGAATTTGATGTGAAATACATCTCTCGTATGTTTCTTTAATTCAAAAATAAATCAGCAATATTTTTAAACACGATGAAGCCGTATAGTGCGAGTACACACACAGCTCTTAAATAAATGCCAAGAATAGAACTATCAAAATTTTAAATACCATTTTTCAAATTCTTGTTTGCAAATTGAAAGATTATAAATTTGAAATTCAATGATCTGAAAATAATCATTTCCACTAAAAATCGAAATTTTCTAAACCATTAACGTCATTGTACGGAAATTGAAATTCTATAAATGACTTAACTACACTGACCTCGTCGTTTCCTTTTTCGCAAAAAAACTTTCGATCGATTCTTGTCAATTTTGATAATTTTCTTTTTTTATTTTTACACTCGAAATTCGCATTTTATCTTTGAAAAAAATTTTTTTTTTGTTTCGATTTGAATAATTTGTGTTTGAAAAACATGTGACGAGAAAGTTTTTTTTTAATAAAATAAATTTAAAAGCAGTTTTTATTGACTATTTTCGATGTTAATTTTCTAATTACCATTTCGCCGAATAATTCGCCTTGATCGGGACAAGCGGGACTCGAAGGTGCAACAATGTGAATCCAACCGGGACGTGGTTCCCGTACCGGAAGTAATACTCGATGAACTGTACATCTTGGATCTTTGGCGAGACGTTGCATTACGCACATTAACACCGATTCCTGAACTTCCTTGTCGGCTAATGCTTCTTCCGGAAATGGGACCGGTTGCAAAAGGGCCGAGAGTCCCGGTCGCCAATCAGCGTATTCCGAACTGAAAATGAAGCATAATTTTTTTCTTTTCTTCTCTTTTTTAAAAAATAACTTCTCACTTTTTACCAAAAGAATTAAAACAGGGTTACCACCGTTACCACATATAATTCATTTTGTTTTTCCCTGATTTCCAGACAAAATTTTGACTTTTTCTTTGACCCTAAAGAATATTCTGCGAATTACTTTCAAAATTATTAGATACTCAAAAAATTAAATTATATTTAAAAATTATTTTAAATTTTTGTCAAAATTTCAATTATATTTAAAAATAATAAAATTCTTCTCCGAAATTCAATTATTTTCAAAAATAAATTTTAATTTTAATAAAATTCTTGGCAAAATTTCAATTATTTTCAAAATTTTTTCTCAATTCAATGATTTTCAATATCTACTATTTTAATAAAATTTTCTAAAAGAATTCAAAATTATTATAAAAAAAATTAAATAACATTCGATGTAAGAATTCAATTATTTTCATAAATAGTGAAATTCTTGACAGGATTTCAATTATTCAAAAAAAAATGTAATAAAAATTTGTTGCAAGAATTGAACTATTTTCCTAAATAATAAAATTCTTTACAGGATTTCAATTATTTTTAATACAATTTTAAGTGAATTCTTCGAAAAATGTAATCATTTTCAAAAATTTTATTTAAAATTCTTCACAAGAAATCAATTATTAATTATCAATTATTTTAAATCATTTTTGCAAAATTTATTTGTGAATTTGCAAAAACATTTGTTTACAATTCAATTTTACAAAAATTCTTTAATTATTTAGAAAATAAAAACTTGAAATAATTAAAAATTCAATTAAACTTTTTTTGAAAAAATTAAATTCCACAGAATTCTTAATTAAAAGTATGAAAAATTCAAATTTTCAAAGATTTTAATTTTTAACCATTTTCATTTTATATCTAACAATTAATGTTTAGATTTTAATATTCAATTATTATCTAAAATTCTAATTTAAATTCACTTTTAATTCAATTTTTATTAGAAAATTCTACGAGAATTTAATTATTTAAATACAAAAATAAATAATTTATTGAATAATTTAAAGTTTCTTGAAATTGAATATTCATAAAAAATTTTATTAACAAATTTTTAAATAATTGAATTTCTTTGACGAATTTAAAAAAAAAAATTTAAGAATATTTCTACTTATTCATGAAAATAATTGAATCTCTGTAAAAATTTTTATTATTTATGAAAATAATTGAATCTCTGTAAAAAAATTTTATTACTTATGAAAATAATTAAATTATTACGAAGAATTATTTTCAAAAATCTTAATAAAATTCTTCGCAAAAATTCAATTATTTTGAAAATTTTAATGGAATTCTTCGAATGAATTCAATTATTGATAAGAATTTTGTTACAATTCCTTATAATAGAATTAAATTATTTTCAATACAATTTTAATTGAATTCCATGAAGGAATTAATAATTTTTGAAAATAATTGAAATTTTGCATTGAAAAAATGCAATTTTTTCAAAAATTATTTGTAAAAATAATTAAATGTTTGCGTAGAATTTTATTAAAATTTTTTTCAAATAATTAAATTCTTTTAGAAAATTTTATTAAAATAGTAGATATTAAAAAGAATTGGATTGAGGGAATTTTTTGAAAATAATTCAAAAAATTTTGAATTTTGCCAAGAATTTTTATAAAATTTTTAAGAATAATTGAATTTCTGCGAAGAATTTTATTATTTATAAAGATAATTGAAATTTTGACAAGAATTTTAAAAAAATTTCGAAAATAATTGAATTTCTGTGGAGTATTCTGCTTACATTTTTCAAAAGAATTGAATTTCTGCAATCATTTCTAACTTTTCTCCAAAATTCAATTTTTTTAATAATATTTTTAACTAAAATTCTTCTATAGATCCATTATTCTTAATAGTTAATTAAATACCTATATATTTAAAATTTTGCCAAATTTCAGAAGAATTTGAATTATTAAAATTTTTCAAAAATCCAAGTTCTTTCTAATTAAATTTATTCAAAATTGAAATTTTCTAAAATTTCAAATTACAACCTTTTGAACTTGATTTATTTTCTGAAAATTGTAAACTTTTAAAATTGAATTAATTTTGAAATATTTAAGTAAAATTATAAAAAATAAAATAAATAATAATTCTATAAAAAAATGGAAAACTATTGAAATAAAACTTACGCCACATTTAAGACAAGAAGATAACAACTCAAAGGTGGCAACTCGACAGTTTTGTCCTCATTCACAGAATCTCGATTTCCCACTTCGAACCTGTGAAAAATAATTTCAAGAAAAATTAGGGCGAAATTTTATCGTGTGACGCTCCTGAAATTAAGCGCAGCCAATCAGAGACCGAGAGCTCCCCACTACCGAACTCTCCCCACCCGGAGTGAGTATATAAACCGAGCGCAGCACGAGAGCGCTTTCAGTAGAACAGTTGAAGTGTTCGACTCACCTGTGAAAAATGGCAGCGACGCAAATTGAAACTAAATTCGGCAGCACTCGTGGATGTGGACAGTCACTTCCTGGACCATGAACGGACGCAATGTATTCGCGAATTGCCTTCTCGCCGTCATTATTCTCATAGATTGCTGCGACAAACACTTGAAGTAACTTCCGCATGTCGGGCGATTTTCCAAAATCGACAGTGTGCTTCAAGCATCGTGTGATTGCCGGACTGAGAGCGTGGACCAATGGCGAGCGAGGATGTCGTTGGGCTAATTTCGATAGGACTCGTGTCAAACTCGGTGGTGGTGCTGCCTTCTCCAAAAGTGGCGCCGCCACCGCCAACACTGCCTCCGCCCAACTTCTCCTGTCGCTTCGTCCCTTCTTCTCCTTTATCTCGTCAATGTCTGCTAATTTTTGGTTATTTAATTATTCTAGTTCTCACCCTCTGCCTAGAGCCATTGGAGTTTTTGAATGTAACTCCTATGGCCCCAAGTCAAATTTATTTAAAATTTTAATAAAAAATTAAATAATTAATTATAATTTTTTTTTTTATTAATTTAATTAAATTTATTTTTTTATTTATAATTAATTATTTTTCTACCATTTTTCACGTCAGCTTCGATAACGACGGGATCTTCCAAAAGTTTCGCCACAGCCTCAAGTGGCGCTCCAGGAACACGTTCATCCTGAAGGGGAGTCCACAAGGCGAAGTCAACCAGGGTTTTTAATTCGCGGAGAATGACTTCCTCCCTGGTGCTCACTGAGACCATGTGTTGATATTTGTAAATACTTTTCTGAAAAGTGAAAAATTCCCACTGTTAATTGTTTCAACAGAAAAAGCGCTTCGACAATTAAATAGAAAACTTTCAAACTATAAAAGGGTCGCCACAAAAAATTAATTTTGTTTTTCCCTGATTGGCAGACAAAATTTCGACTTTTCCCTGGCCCTAAAAAATATTTTGAATCACTCTAAAAAGAATTCAATTATATAAATATAAAAAGAAATATATCTCCTGACAGTAACACGCAGACTGACGATGCGAACTGTGCGCTCTTCTCTTATATAGCCAGCAGACTTAGGAGGGAGGGGAGACGCGCGCGCATTCATCTGCCAGGAGCGTATCAACTATTCTCCCAACCCCCCTTCAAAAAAAGAAAATTTTCTTCTTTAGTCAACAAAAATCGATTCTTTTTTTAGTAAATTTTCATGTAATATATCCGAGAATACATAAATTTACAGAATACGCATTCTAAACTTTAGAGAACAATCTAAAATATTTTTCAAGTTATGAGCTCCAACATAGTTGCCAATTATTGTCAATACTTTATCTTAACTCAAAACCATTTCAATATTTCACCAAAAAAATTTTATAGGAACACTTAAAATAAATAGAAAAGTATTTCAATAAGCCCGAAGGTCTAGATTATTTTTTCCCTTCTTATTTAAAAAAAAGATCTGTTTTTAGGCCCCCTTAAGAAAAAAAAATGTTTGAGAAACCAAGTTGTCATTTTTTTTCCTGCTTGCAATTTTAATAAAAAATAATATTTACCTTCCAGAGGATAGAATGGTACCATTGGTCCCTTGTATAAGCGTTGCTCGCCTGGAGCAAAAGCGATCCATCGGGAAGAACGATTCTCAAACAATATTTGTAATTTGGATCCCATCTTGCAACGGCATAAACTTCAGACATTGAACTATACGGAACTGGTTGTTGTAAAAATCCAGAGAGCTGAAAAAGAGAGGGAAAAAAATTCAATTTAGTCAACGAATAAAATTTCTCGAAAAATTTCATATTATATATGATAAAAAAAAAATCTGTTTCATAAAATTTCAAGTTTTATACCGTAAAAAACTATTTTTAAAAAAATTATTTTTAAATTAAACTTTTTATTAAAAATTTTATAAAATAAAAATAACATCTGCTTAAAAATTGTAAAATTTTGATTTCTATCGAAAATTCAAAAAAATGTAAATTGTAATAAAAATTAAAATCTAAATTATTTCATAGAAATTTTTGTATTTCCGGAAAATGATAAATTTTTTAATTAGTCATTTTTTTACTTCTACTTTCCCTCATATTATTCTTTAAACTTTTAAAATTGAGAGAAAGAGTTGTTCTTCAAGCATCATCTGAATAAATAATTTCATTTTCACCAGTAATAAAATTGTGTAACCGAAATTTTTTTTCAGAAAAAAATAATTAATTTAAATAATTTAAAATGCAATTTTTTCTTTTGGAAAAAATTGTGTTTTAACATTTGGAATACAAATATTTCTTTAATTGTTCATTACAACGAAAGCTAAAAAAAGCTTGCAAATAATTTTCTTATAAATTAACATTTAAACAAAAATAATAGAAAATGTTGTGATAATTAAAAAACTTAAATAAATAATAATAATAATAATAATAATAATAATAATAATAATAATAATGATAATTGTTTAAAGATCAATTTTGTTTGTAAAATAATTTAATTAATAAAAAAAAACTATTTTTTGACATCTATTTTTAAGGAATTAAAAATATAATTTTTCAAATATGAGTAAAATTAGAAACGAACTAAAGTGACCTTTTTAATTAAATTTAGAAGAAACGTTTAATTTAATTAAAAACAGAAATTTTATTTACACGGAAATTCTATTATTTTCAGAAATCTAATTTTGCTTCGTTTTTAAAAGTAAATTTTACTTTCTAATTAAAAAGTTTTTTTTTAAATAAACTTTTATAGGTATTTCATTTTAATAAACAATAAAACAATAAAAATTATTAAATATTAAAATTTTTAATCTTTCTTTAAATATTATTAGAAAAACAATACAGCAAAATTTTTCAATCAAAAATATTTTTAATAAAAATGTATTTAAAATTAATAATAATTTACTGAATATTTTACTATAAAGAATATTTAAAATTTTTAATATTTAACATTTAATATTTTAATATTTAACATTTGATATTTAACATTTAACATTTAATATTTAACATGCAATATTTTCAATATTTTAATATTTAACACTTAATATTTTTAACATTTTTCAAAAAGATATTTCAATATTATTTTAAATAATTTTCATAAAAAAAACTATTTTTAAAATTTATCAAAAAGGAATTTTTATAAATATTTTAAAAAAACGAAATATTTTTACTATTTAAAAAGAATTGTCCTATTTTTAAATATAAAAAAATTTGTCTCCTCAAAATAAATGAAATAAAAGCACATTTAAACAAAGAATAGTGTATTAAAACACCGACAAGAATACATGAATGTTTTCTCTAATAATTTTATAAATATCAAAGACAAAAAATATATCCGTCAATAATTCATTTATTTTCAGTTCACTTGCCAATACCAGGAATGGAAAACTAAGTTTTATTATTACTTTTAAATTGCAAGCGAGAGCAATCAAGAATTTGGGTCGGCTCGAGCAAATCAGATTGGGTTCGTTCAAGCAAACACATACAGATATACAAACACAAATTGATTTATACAAGTAAAATCCATCATGGCTATCGTACAGTAGAAAGCGATAACGATATGAAAATTTAATCCAAACCCACCAAAAAAAAAGAAAATAAATAAATAAAACTCTTAAATATTACCTTTGGGAGAAAATAATTCAATTTCATATTTGAAATTTCCCGCCTGCAATTTTAGAGGGAAAATTAGTTTTATTTATTTATATTTTATATTATTCTCAAAGTAACATTTTTTTAATTATGAAAAAGTTTTTAAAGGATAAAAATGGTGGTTTAATTTCTCTACTTGAGAACGCCAAGGTCACCACCAGGTGGCAGGAGAAATTCCAAGAAATAAATAAATTCCAAGAAGTAAACTGCCATCTAGCGGTGACCTTGGCGTTCTCAGGTGGAAAGTAGCGTCTCCATATTGAATCTCAATTTCTTCGTAATTTTATAATTATTTACGATTAGAATCTTCACAGTTTGACAATCAATATAAAGAGATTTCAATTTTTAATTTATTTTCCTTTTTGCTATTTTCCTCCTCTTCAATTTCTTTAGTCTTGGAATTAATTTCTTCACTAAATAAATTGATATTTAAAATCTTGATTTAAGAAATTAATTCGTGGCTTTTTTTCAACGAAATAAGTGAAATTAGTAACTTATTTATAAAAAATAGTAGCTAAATATTTTAGTCAAAAAATTTAAAAATTCTAAATTACATTGAATTAAAAGTTTTAAAATTCTTCGTATGGAAACATAATAAAAGGAAGAAAAAAAAGTAGGATAGAAATGAAAAAAAAGAAGAAATGTAATAAACTATTATGCGCAGTAAGTTTTTTTAGATTACTATATTGCCACTAACGATTTAGTGGTCTTATCTTTTAAAACGTAAAACGGTTATCGTTATCACGATGCAAAGTGGTAAAATACATAACTGTGTGCGGCTTAACTTAACAGGAAAGCGTGGCAATGTTAAACAGATGCGATTTCGAGAATGGTTTTAACGACGTAACGACTTTTGTCCGCAAAGCCTTTAATTCTCGTTCAACATGAAGATTATAATTTTGCCAAGTTGACACACGAGATTAGTTTATAGATGATATATTTTCTTTAAAATTCTTTATTACCACTAATCCGCACATTTAGTTGTGAAAAAAATTTTCTTTATTACAAGAATGAAATAATAAAAAGAAGTAAATAAAGTAAATTACTTTTTTACATCCAATTATTTAAGAGTGCAGCTACTTTTAAAACTTTTTCTTAATGTATGTAGAAAAAAAATATTTTTAATTCATTCGAAATTTCTTTTGTTAAAAGAAAATTTTTATTATTACTAACAATTATTATTATAATTATTACTAATATTATTATTATAATTATTACTAACACTATTATTATAATTATTACTAACATTATTATTATTATAATTACTAGCCCCTCCGACGGCCGCAAGCGGCCGTCTACGGTGCTAGTTTTTATATGTCCATTGTCCAAGTCCATTATTTCATTAATAATAATATTAATATTAATTATAATACAGACATTATAATATTCAATTTTTTTCAGTTAATAATTTGCTTATTTATATTTGAAATGTTGACGTTTTTTTTACAATGCAAAATAAGATTTATTATAAGTACTTTCTCTTAACAAAAATAAAATTTATATATTCGCGCTCTTTTTAAATAACATACGACTGCAGCGCCACCTGCACATGTCCAAACAATTTTGAAAGCACCCTTCTCTTAATATTTTACATTCTCATTGCCCATTCTTTACTTCGATACGTTTCGATATATTCGACCTTTCCACTCCATGTCTTTTTTAAGAAAGGATAATTATAATAATTATTATCATCATTATTGTTGTTATTATTATTTTCTTCGCAATAAAAACTCACTAGACACAACTTGCTTTTCTTAATGTAATGTTGACGTCTTCTGATTTTCTTTCTCATGTATCGGAAGTTATCTTTAACTTGACCCCATGTTATGTCATGGCAATGCGAAAAAAAAGTTAAAAATACATCTGCAATTCAGGTAAAAAGCAAAGGGTGAACTTTAATCCCAATTCTGGAACTCAATTTTTTAATTATTATTAAAATTACTTTTAATATTTAACTTTAATTTCCATTTTAGTTTTTCGATAATCAAGAAAAATGATGGAAACCTATTTTTAATAGACATATTTCACTTTAATGATAATATCAATAACTATTACGAATAATAAAAATAATAAAAAAAAAATTTTTTAAATAAAAAAAAAATAATAATAATAATAAAAGTAATAAATAATTGATAGTTATAATATCAATAATAAATAATAGATATAATAATAATAGTAATAATCCCGTTTAAATTGAAAGAAATAAATAAAAATTTAACACTGTGTCGTAGTCCAGTGGTCAACGCTCCGGACTTTCAATAAAACACCACGGTTTCGATTCCCGACAAAGTGAAATTTTTTTAAAGTTAAAATAACAACAAAATGCAAAGTAAATATCAATAAAACCATAAATAAATTATTATTATCATTATAATTGTCCATTTTTTAATCATCCAAAACTAATTTTTGTCTATAAATTACTTCCGAGAGGGAAAAATAACTTTTTTTTTCGAAAATATTTTTTTTAATGCGAATTAATTTTTGTCGATGTGAAAAATTGCTTTTTCATTCAAAAAAAAAAGGAAAAAAAAAGTCCACGACCAGAGGAGAAAAATCGATTGGTGAGGTCTACCCAGAACTCGGTTACTCGTGACGTAAGCGAAGACACCACAGTTACCATTAGGAAAGAGGAGAAAGGGGGGCAATGAAGAAAAAGAGGAAGGTAAAGAGGGATGAAAATAGAGTGGGGGGGAGGAAGAGGAAAAAAAAGTAAAGGAAACAGGAACCGACAATGTTGCATAATACCCTCATACAGGTGCTGAGGACAATGCGCTTTGATTCACAAATACACACAGACACGTCTATACATACAGAAAAGACTTACAGGATCCATTGGCGTGCAACGAGGCCAAATCTAATTTTTACAATATAGAAAAAAAATCATTTTTGCAAAAAAAAAAAAAAAAAAAATTTCTTGATAATACGTTTTATTTTCTCTCCTACATTTTCATTTTACATTCTTTTCTCCTCTCCTTCACTTCTTTAACAATAAACATACTTTTTTTGAGGTTATGTTGACCAATAAAAATTTCATTTACCCTCCCTCCCTATTTTCTTCACTCTTATGACAATAAGCAAAATATCCATTTTTTAATTTTATT